TCCGAGAACAGCTGTTATCAAATCATCCGGACCCCTCCTAACGCCTGCACGCAGTAAGTAAAACTCTCAAATAGCATCAGCATACGCAGACATCGGCTTCTTGCTCCGTCCAATCGCGGCCACAATCAGGGCGGCATGAGGCCCTAGAATACGCGTGTCCGCCGCCCAAGTTGCCAGCGGTGAACTAGGTCCGATTAGAAGTGTTAGTGATTAGTGCGAGCTAGCAACTAAAGATCGTTGCAAGCTAGCACTAATTATGGTTTTCTTGCTAATAAAGTTTGGGCCCGAACCTCACTCACTCGGTAAAAAGCAAAGAAACAACTGTTTACCACTGACTTTCTGTGAGGCCCTGGTGTCACTCCGGTCGAACTGGCCCCTATGTGCTGAAGCATGACTCTCCCACGGTGACGCTATTTATCTTGAAGCTCAACCTTTAGAGAAAAATTGTCTAATTTGTCTTTTTCTATATAAGGCTTTCTTGTAATTTAAAAAGTTTATCCTAGAGCACAACGCTCACATACATAAAAAAAGTTACCCTAAAACCAATCCCTTTTCCTGAAACCGAAACGCGTGTCATCAAGAGATTCTCAACAGTATAAAAATTATAACAAATTTATTTCCACCAAAAAATATCTTAATTTCTAGGAGACAAACACTGAGGTACAGCTTATCAAGGAATACTTTGACTGACCTGTTGGCCTAGTGGGTAGTGACCCTAATTGCTGAACCAGAGGTCGAGGGTTCTGTTCTCACCCAGGGCAAATAATTGTGTGATGGCACGCTGGGTGTAATTTATCTATAGTATGCTTGGTCCGAATGGTGACGGATTAAGAATACAGAGTGTCACCACCCCTATTCATCCCGTGGGTGTCGTAAGAGCCGACTAAGGGAAAAAACTATAGTCTGGCCATAACTGCTGTGCACTCTTTGAGGTATGCGCGGCGAGGTGGGAGCCGGAGAAAAAAGAGCATGAGTACACATGCGATTAATACACGTCGGACAAATCTTACGATATCAGTTTACATTTCTAAGGTAAGACTTGTAGCGGAACGGAGGCTTTTTATTTGATAAAAATATATTATTTGTACTATCTTATTAGTTCACAAAAATGTAATCTACAGATCTCGATATTTTATTAAAATACCTAGACAGTTGATGAAAAAAAACTAAACTTACAATTCAAATAAGGATTTGTTTTATTGAAAATTTACTATAATTACAAACAAATAGATATTAGTATAAGTATTTAAGTTATTCTGACATAGATTCTGTTTCAACTTCATCTTCCATTTCGTCATCATCTTCATCGTCCATATCGTCATTGGAACTTGAATCAGAGTCTTCCAAATTTATTATAAATGAATCGATAATATTATCGTGATTCCAGTAATCATTTTCATTTTTCTGGACATGACCATCGCATCTCTGCTATTTCTCTGCTGTGAATTCCGAAAACAATTTATCCAATATGATTATCTTTTCGTCTAGAGAAGAATTAAGATAGTTTTGGGCTATGTTGTTTTTAATATCAGCCCAGACCAACTCAATTGGATTTCAATCTGGATGGTACGGAGGTAAACGCAGAACAGTGTGTCCATGGGCTTTCAGGAGTTCGTCAATTCTATACACGGGTTCTTTTTGTGTACTTGTGATGAAAAGTAGCAGTTGAGCTTTTGTCATGGTTTCTGAAAATTCTACATTGTGGCGTAGCAACCAGCCTTGCATTTCTCTTTTGAGGCTTGATATTGTTGGCTTCTTCTCAACCTGAACGCTGTGGTAAGACGCGTTGTCTATTACAACAACAGAATTCGGCAGCAACTTATCTTTTAACCTTTCATCTACCCACTTATAAAAAGTAGGCCCATTCATATCTCCATGATAGTCGCCAGTTTTAGCATCTGATTTGAAAATAGTCAATACGTCATCCACCAAGCCATTTCGACATCCAGCGTGGAGGATTACCAATATCAGCATGAATGCCGGATTCGGACGATGATTGCCAACATTTACTAGCATGGTGACTGGCGTTGATGTAGGTTTCATCAAGAAAATATATGTTGCGGTTTTGCGTTCTGTAATTTCTGATTTGCGTAAGGTATTTTTTCCGTCACACTGTATAATATTAGGCTGCTCTATAAGGAGTAGTCTCTTCGATTTGCATTTTTTGTAACGGTAGCCCATTTTGTGTAAAAACTGTCTTAAATATTCCCGTCCACAATTCAATATGCCATCCTGCCTCAAACTTGATAGTAACTTACGGACACTTGGTATTTTTTTTCAACATCGTAAAACTGATGAATTTTTCTTCTGATAACTCCAAGATCAAAATCATCGACAACATGTTTTTTCTTTATAACTTTTGGTTTTTTCGGCGATTGAAAGTGAAACGGCTTGAATTTTCATTTGATAAATAACCCGCAGAAATTACATTGTGCACGGTTCTTTTGGACTACCCCGTAGCCTTCGCAACGATTTTGGCGATATTCGCATCACTTTTGAATTCAAAGCTTTCTCTGTCTGCTTTTCTTTTCTTAAAATATTCAGCCACTTCAAAAATTACGGTTTATACATACATCACGAGATAACGCACGACCCATCTTTGAAATTTTATCTCATGTGCGTCTGACATTGACGGTCCGATACAAATGACACTACCTGCCAACCACGATGTTTATCAGTAGTCTTGTTACCATAGTAACCTAGATAGTATAGTATAGTATAGTAACCTAGCCGACTCCTCATTGCAGCCATCGGAAGTGATCTCTCGCTACCGGCCGCATTCGCTACCGGCCATCAAACGCTCCATGGCCGGTAGTGACAGATGTTTCACCGCGGTCGCATATTTCTGCGAAAGCGCGCTTACCACCGCCTCATACCGCCTGAGTGTGGCCCGCGGGTGTACGGGTTTTCTGCTCCACCCGCCATAACGGCCAGCCGCAAGGAAGCTAATATCGCCTTAATAGAGAATGTACCTGATGGTGATGCCCGCGCCGTTGCAGGCAGGCACTAGGAGGGATCCGGATGTCTATTTAACAGCAGTTCCCGGATCCCTCCTATTACAAGCGCAGAGTGGCACACCGTGTGGTTTTAGTCGGTCCGATTCACCCCTACCGCAAACCTCAGTGGGTTGACGGCCCGAGGGGGTTTCCACACGTAAAAAAAAAACCGCCTCTACAGTGCGGTGATACGATCCATGGCCCTCTACGGAGCGCCGATATGGGCAATGCGCTAATTGGCCTCCTCCCGCTGCCGAGCTAAGCTCAATCAAGCGCAGCGGGTAGCGGCTATTCGGCGAAAAAGAATTCCCCGTGGACCAGTGGGATGTAGCGGTGGGGCCAAGGTAAACGGGAGTAAATTTCAAATAGGTAGTTATTTTAATTATAAAGCTATATCCTAAACAAAATATCATCAATCGATTACAGTCTACAGAAACATTGATCGATTTAGTCAGTTATGAGTGTCATATCTCAAGTCATCGTTTTGTGATATCTGTCATCTGTATCAAGCTATATTTTAAGTCAGTAATAAATAATGTTCCTTTAATAAATTTTGTTTGTTTCATATTGAAACAAAATTCCTATAACTTGGCAAATTACTGATATTAAGTAAACGTCTAAAAACCGTAACTACATGTAATACCAATTTCTTAATATACACAAATTGTGTAATGACCCATTCATTGTCTCATGCCTTAGTCACAATAATAAGGGTATAACAGGTTAAGTAAAACCAGCATAAAATTATACAATATTTATTGACACTTTTACGTTACAATACATGTTGACTTTGACTTTTGACTATTACCCACAAAACGCTTTGCACATGACACGAACTCACTCATGTAATATAATTTCATTAAAAGTTAAGAAAGCAAACCGAAATTCAGCTTTTGCCGCATTGACCTACAGCTATCACAGCTTCATCAAATGCTGCAATTGGAACAGGTGGTTGTCCAACAGCTAGTACTGCATCTGTCAAAGAAAATTATAATGAGCATCGAAGAACCTTTGAGTACCAGATAAGCTTTGGAAAATTCTTACATGCAAGTTTTTTCATTAACATACTTTTAGTTTAAAAAATATTAATATTAAAACTATGAATAATATAATAAAAGTAGCTGTTATATTTTCAAATATTCGTTTAATCACTAACTCTTTCCTTTAGGCTCCTAGTATGTGTTTTTATTACCTATAATACATATATTATATAATACGAGTATGTACAACTGGCTCATGTTGCATGAACATCTGATGCTAATATGACAGTAATTAAATAAATAAATATTTTCGGACATCTGACACACAACGCCATCTAGTTTCAAACTAAGCAGAGCTTGTAGTAATGAAAGGTAGATTGACTGATAAAAAACTCTTATACCTTTAAATATACATACACAGAAAACACCCAAACTCTGAAACAAACATTCGGTCCGACCTGGGAATCGAACCCGAGACCTCAGCTCAGCAGTCGCATTCGCTACCACTGCACGCCCGAGGCGGTAAACTTTTTAGTTGTTTCTTTACGTTATCGAGTTTAGTAATTAGCTTACAAAAAAGGTCATGAGCCCCAATCGATGAGAAAATATTTAGACAAACCTTTTTCAAATACTTGTAAGAATAAACAATACATACCAAGAAAATCAATATCTAGGTTTTACTAGCTGATAAAATTTAGACTTTTAGAGTATTTTATTTCTTTTCATTTAGTGACTTAGCTGATTGATCATATCCTAATCATACAGAAACCGTACTCATGGAAATTTATTAGATTCTCTTCAAAACTAACTAAGTCTCCCACTTGCCTAGTGCGACTGTCTTCTTAAACAATTATACCGCGATACTTAAAGCTTAATAAAACAAAAAGCTTAAAGCATAATATGTGACTAAAGGTGGTGGGGCTCACATTACGACAGAGACGCAGTATCAAGATATAGAGTTGAAAATATTATCTAATCATTTTTAAACAATAATAAAGATTGGATACTAGTCTTGATATCGTTGTCACGCTTCTGTCGTAACACCTGAATCCTGAGTGATAACCTCCACTCCACCTGAATTGAATACTGTTAAGCGCAGTTGGCCTGTCACTGGATGTTTGCTACTTGACTGTATACTGTGACGAGGGAGCCTCCGCCTCCGCAGCAAGGTGAACAGCAAGGACGAGCACAACACGGTGGCGGCGGTGCGCATCCGCAGCCCCTGAAAACAGGATATTCATTGTTTTTATAGCATATTTAGGAGAATAAAACAATAAGACAATATTGGCGATTTAGCTTTCTTTCTCTATACTTTTAATTTCATTATAATCCTTTCGGGAGCCCTTTTCCCCGGAACAATTAATTTTTTGGTACGTTGTGACTGAACCGGGGGGTTCAGTCACAAACACACGTACCAAAAAGCTAAATACAACTTAATCAACAGAAATGTTTAAGAAATGAACCTAAGTAATTTGTAATAGTTATTCACAGGCGGTGACCATGTTTTTTGCGTTAATAAGTCCGTAAATGTTGTAAGACCTTTATGTCACACCACCGACATTAAAATATTCACATAATAATTTAAGTGTTACTTAAATTCATTTTAATAAATTTTTATGACATAGGGGGAAATGAGCAGATGAGTCACCTGATAGAAAGTGTCTACCACCGCAAATAAATGTCTGCAACTCAAGTCACAAGTGCATAACGGGCCTTTATGATGAGCATGGTTGCAAGGCCTAGGTGAGAGTTCACCAACTCAAATCAATAAAGCTATACTGTTACACAAGTTGACAGTTTCCTATTGTATTAAACGTACAATGCTTTGTTTACATACAAGTAATCAAAGCTATAATGAATAATTATCAACAGCCTTTAATAGTCCACTGCTGGACCGGCCTCTCTCTCGAAATAAGGTTTGGGCCTACTATACCACGCTGGCCAGACGGGTTGGTAAAGGGTTTATTTCAAGCTTTCCTTCCCTTTGCATTGCTGTTTTCCTGTGTAGATTGCTCCCTTAGTCGGCTCTTACGACGCCCCCATGGGATGAATAGGGGTGGTGACACTCAGTATTCTTAATCCGTCACCACATGGACTGAATAATGAATTTTATTAGGTTCAGTTAGAGATGTAAGTGAAAATCGATTTGATAATTCGTGCGAATTGTTTCCAAACCGAACCGTTGAAAGAACAATGGCAGAAACATATTTACCTAAAACTTAAGCGTTTAAAAAATCGAGTCACAGTAAACTAAATCAATATTTTTTCTATGATTTATCATTACACCACCATGTGTTGTATAAGTCTTATAAGAGATAAGATATTTTTGAAGATTTTATTTGACCTAAGTACGTAATGTCAGATTCGCCATCACGTATAACTGACTAGGGATGCGTGGTGGCAATATTATATTATAGATAATCGATTCTTATAGCTTTGGCTGAAATATTTACCGAAGGTTCACCTATTATGATTATGAATTTGCTTCTGCCCACGTCTTCACTCGTACGGTAGAGTGACTGAATCAACATAATTAGAAATTATTTAAAATAATTTTGACTTTCTTTAAACGATTTTAAACACACTAAAGAAATAGAATATAGTTACGTTATTTTCCACTACACAGTGTGATGAGAAAATGACATTGTAATTGATAACGGCACATAAATAGACATACATCGATATTTTCAAAATGTCGATACGTCGTCGTTTAGATCCTGTCAAGTTCCGGACTCACCACGTTTGTTATTTTATTTTTGTTTAATTTAGTGTTAAGCTCGAATAGATGTTCTGCTTTTATTTTTTTTATTTCGTATACTGTAATAATAATGAAAATAATATTTTCGGCTATCTGACACACAACGCCATCTAGTTTCAAACAAAACATTAACAATATGTTAGTACTTAACCTCGAAACATTCAAAATCCAATATCTTTTTTCCTAGACTTCTTTCGCAAGTTATTTTGATATGAGAATGGTCAAGAATAAATTCTCAAGTGTTAAGGATTTTTTGATATTTAAACGCTAACATTTCAGTTCAAATAAAATTATGTATGGGGACCTGCCATTGTCCTTTTAGTAAACCGCGGTTTGAACCGTATGACGTTATGAATTGAGCGGTAGTTTGTTGAGAGCTAAGTACAACATACTATTCAGTCAAGTAACATGATTACCAAGCCTTCTTTTTTCTCATTTGGTGGATATAACAAAAAAAAATATTATTAAATTTAATTAATTAAATTATTATTAAACTGACGACGCGCGCTAGCCGTATCCGAATATGTAGGAACTTAATAATATAGCTTGTGCTTGTAGGTAAATTGATAAATGTAATTCACTGCCGTTACGCATAGACTCGGTTCAGAATCAGTTGTTATAAAAATCAGTTTTGTTCGATAAAGCAGGAGCCTCGAGCGCGGCAGCACGACACGAAGTCTTATATTAGTCCGGTCGAATTAAAAAAGAAAATATGAGTGAGGTTACAAAAATTCGCGTTGTAATAACACTATTATAAATGCAATGTAAAAAGTCGTCATCGATCCGACAGCTGGAAAAAATTAATCGGGGTCAAAGGTCACAAAAACGGGTTTATCGCTATTTTTTTTTAATTATAAAATTAGCCCAGGCAAAAATTGTAGATCTGATAATTATCTATAATGTCAAAATACTTTTTTTTTTCCTTAGAGATTGAGTTATAATCGTCATAATATGTATAAGTACATACACTACGCATATACATCGCTGAAGCTGTAATACAAGTAAAAGTATTATCCTATCGGTCAATGTAACTTACACATATAAAATATTATAAATATGAGAATGTCGGGTAAAAAGAAACCCAGTCCTTCATTTTATACGCCAGTGTAACCTTGAGCAACATCTGTTTCCTATTCAATTGTCTGCGTGGCTAGTGTCGTATACCTGCTTTATCTTAAAATACCCAATACATTCAATACTATTAGTTTGAATTACGCAAAATTTCAAAAGTATCGATACTTTACTCGATACCAGTATCGTGTTAAAAGTTCATCTGCATTTTTTAGAAGAAGTATAACTGTTTTTATAATGTTTGAAAAACTGCTAAACTCAATTTTTTGCAACTGTGAAAAGGAAGGTAGTGCTAAATGTGGTTGCAAAAAAGATGGAGTGTTTTGTTCTGTAGCATGTACAAATTGTCAAGGCCGGTCGTGCTCCAATTTGAATCACCAACAAATGAGGATTCATTCGATGCTGACGAGGAGACATGCGATGTTATTTATTGGGGCAATTTACTTGCACCCAGGATGAAGAAGAAGAACAAGCAGAAGACGACGAATAAGGAGAAGACGAAGAACAAGAAGAAGAAGAACAAGAAGAACAAGGAGAAGATGAAGCAGAAGTATCAGAGAATTATGAATCCGATGGATAATTTCCCTATCTTTTTTTTTATTTACACCGCTTTTATCACTTTCATAATGTTCAACCCTTGCCAATAATATCTTTAAATATTCAAGTTTCAAATTAAACAGAATCACAACAGATCAGTGGAACAGGCCTACCGGGGAAACCACATTCAAAAAAACGCGCTATGTACACTCCGTTAAAGGTGGCGTAGAAACGTGTGCATATTATGAGGATTACAACTCTTTCAACTCTTTGAATTGTTATATATTGTTAACGTAATATAATAATAATATATATCGTTATATTTTCTTATTGTCATTGTTCACCTCGTCCTCAAAGTTGTTTTTACCTAACTGCAATGTCTGCCCGAGGTATACATAATTTTGAACAACTTCGAGAACGGCACCGTGTACCGCAATCGGTTCCGGTAGTACATGTGTGTTGAACATGACCTTAGTTTTATCCAAGTTCATCCGTAGGCCGATGCGTACAGAAGAGTCAGCCAGGTCATTTAACATCTGCTGTAGGTCCTGCAGCGTCTCTACCATGATGACGATGTCGTCTGTAAAGGGCTATTTGTTTGGTGTTTTTCTAAGTGATCGCATCAGAAACGAGGTGATCCGGCAGAGAACCAAGGTCACCGACATAGCGCCTACTGGATCAGCAAGCTGAAGTGGCAGTGGGCTGGCCATATTAGCCGCAGAACCGACAACCGTTGGGGAAAACGAGTTCCTGAGTAGTGATTAGTCACCGCGTCTCGGTAAACGTAGTGTAGGACGCCCACAGGCCAGGTGGAGTGAATATTTGCGCAAGAGCGCTGGCAGGAGCTGGATGCGAGAAGCCCAAAATCGATCTAAGTGGCGTGCAATGGGAGAGGCCCATGTCCAGCAGTGGACTGCGATAGGCTGATGATGATGATGATGATATATCAAAACGGTAACTCTTAGAAAAAAAAAATATGTAAAAAGACATTTTTTACATAAAATTATCTGATCTACAATTTTTGTCAGAGCTAATTTTATAATAAAACTTACCGTTTTGCTGAAAATCGCGAAAAACCAGTTTTTGTGATCTTTGACTCCGCGTAAAAAAATCCAAATGAGGACTTTTTACATTTCATTTATGGTGTTTCTCATATTGGTGTTTTAAGCAATCCTACCAATTTTCAGCTGGGTACGAATTTTTGTAACCTCGGATGTCTAAATTGACCGGACGGATATAGGCGAAGTTTATAATATTATTATTACATAGGTACCGTTATAAACTGTACCTTTTGTGACCGAGAGTAGGTAGTAAAATCTGTGTTGTTAACTTACTGTATTGAAGACATAACGGATTGTAATTTATTAATAACGCCCAGTCTATCGCACATTTTGTTAGTTTTAGCAGATAAATTTCGAAATTAATAAAATTACTCCACGAAATTTGTTTAGTTTTTGAAATAGTGTAATAAAATTTGAAAGACTGACAATTTAATCAAATTTGACGTTTCTAATTATAAATTATTTCCATTGTATGTCTCATCTGAAAAGAGGTCGTACACGTGCATGAATTTAGTTTAGAATTTATTTTTAGCCTAAGAAAACAATCTTGTTAAAATAAATTGGAATTTTTTTTACTCATAAATAATGATAGTTTCTATATTCTAATCCCACCTAGCTCGATCAATCGATACAAATAAATAAAATTGAAGTGTCTGTTTGTAATGTCAAAAAATAGGTGTTTTTTTATTACACGGTTATTTGCACGATACCTATGGCTTAAAACCAGTTCTTTTTAGTCTGTCTGTATGTCTGTTTGTGCCGAATAATTGTTCTTCTTCTAATGTAACGGCTGGACGGATTTTGATAATATTTTACTAAAAGGTAGCTGTCTATTTAAGAAATAACTTAGCCTATTTTTCCTATCAGAAAAACCTTTGCCCGGTCCGGGAATCGGACAAGGCAACGCTTTTCAAATTCCACGCGTACGAAGTCGCGGCTATTTGAAAAGCTAGTCTAGTAGCTAGTCGTAAATAGAAGTAGTCGATGAGACTGTTGACGGTCATGGCCGAAATAGCGGGTTACTTTAATTTTTCTCGAATTAAAACTTCTTTGTGGTTCATAGCAGTATGAGTCAACAGTGCTTGGCGGTATTTACACACTTTGCCATCGCCTTCAATTTGCCTTAAACATATTTGTTTTCATAGAGAACCTTGTTAACTTAACCATTGCACCACTGCTTTATTAGCATATCTTTATAGAAGTAGGAAGAAGTGTTAAAAGAAAAAAAGTAAAGTAAAGTGTGTGTGTTAAGTTCATCAAAGAGTTATGCTCTTAAAATACTAATCAATGTTATGTAGTTCAAAACCACTTAAGTTATTGTGTATCTATATACAAAAGTGTTTTATGTTTTGAGATTTCTCAGATTTCTGCTTCAATTTACTTTTACTAATAAACTCGTATGTACCCCTCGTTTCTAACAAAACTGTATATCTAAGTACAGAAGGTTTGCATTATTTATAGCCTTATTATAATAGGCATTTAAATTAGGGAACAAAATGGTAATTTTTGTATAACATGCGGCAAAATATTTGATATTATAAACACAAACTTTAACCAAAATGCACCTACTTCCTGGTCTCTCTGCATCACCTAAAGGTTGTCTAGTAGAGAATGCCTTAGGCATTAAGTCCTCCAATGCATCAAAAGTGCATGATGTATAAATAAATAAATTAAATATATAGTTTTTTGTATAAATAAATATATATTTATAAATATAATATTTTCTTCGTTTGAGCACTTTGAGACTGGTTTTTGAGATTTGTTTGATTTATTATAGCAACTTTAACAAAACGGTAAATACCAAATGAAGTTCCTAAATAATTAGATTGTGGTATTTTTTTAAAAAACCATAAATATACTTATTTCTTGGCATTATATATTCGGCTCAATTAGGTAAACTTGTGTTAAACTTTATTTCATCATCATCTTCAACAGCCTTTAATAGTCCACTGCTGAACATAAGCCTCTCCTTAGAAAGGAGATTTTGGCCTACTTTACCATGCTGGCCAGACGGTTTGGTATAGGGTTTGTGTCAAGTTTTCCTTCTCTCTGCAGTGCTGTTATTATGCGTAACTTTTTCCCTTGGTCGGCTCTTACGTCATCTACGGGATGAATAGGGGTGGTGACACTCTGTATTCTTAATCCACACGGATTTTATTTTAGACCTGTTTAATTAGCACAGCAAGCTTTGTCCGCAAATCTTAGAAATGATTTAAATTTATAGTCTTGTATGTATTTATTTTAAAACTACTATTACATGTACAAATAAATACCTACATTAGATATGAATCAAAAGTGAAATGGACACAGTAGACCTATATGAATCCACAAATCAGAAAAAAATTGCCTAGTTAAGCTTCATGCAAAACCATGTAGAAGTATTCACGAGAACTTTGTTCAACCTTGAAAGTCCTAAGGCTGATATGAATCAAAACCATCATCGTTAATCGAAAGAAATGTTCTCATAAGATCAGTAGGTAGTTAACTGCTCGGTTCCTGTCTAAGAATAATCAAATGTAAAACAATTTTCTTTGTTTCGAATTGATTGTAACATACAATGTGTATTGAAAATAGTGAGATACCTGTTTTGTTAGTTGTACGAAGGCGCACAGGAAGGGTAATGGGACTGAGCCTGAAAGTAAATATAAAAATATAAAAGTGGTGTTGATAGAGACAACGCAAAAATACTAACATTTGAAGTAGGTACTCTAAGTTTGAGATTAAAAAAACATCTGTAAACAAACCTAAATGACGCTGAAAGATAAAATACGAAATGATAATGGTAATTTAGTAAATTTACTAAATGCCTACTAATATAAGATGATTAGATCAAGGAGTTGATGCATTAGCCCAAGATTTTTGTATTAAGAATTTTGAGTAGTTATAAATTAGTTTGAAAAATAATGAATTTAGCCTATATTATTTACGTTTACGTACCGGTCTTTGGTAGTTGATCAATTGGTATCGAATCTTTTTGTCTTGGTTATTAAGCAACATCCCAGGCCAGCTTGTAGGTCTATAATCAAAGGTGCTGTCGTGTACGATGAGTGGTCGTCGTAGGGTCCATGGGTCCATACCACAAGGGAAACATTTTGGGCCCTGTAATATAATTGAGTTTTAGAATTTTTCGTAGATGCATCATGAATTTATTTTAACCTAAACATTACTCTTTCACTTAAAGTCATACAGTGCTCTTCTTTCTCTTTAAAGATTTTTATATAGAAGTTTTAAACTTACAAAACTCTACAAAATTCTAACATAACAGTAGTGAATTATATCAGATCAGAGTTCTAGCCTGCAGTTCTATGTAATTAGCTATTATATATGGAATACTTCCAAGTTTTTAAAGGGATTTTAAATGATATGTATGATTTTAAATACATCTGCTGACAATAATGTAAGTGATTCAAAACCTTGTTGATGTAGGCCATCTGGCAAATGGTTTATACGTGAAGTGGGCCTCGGTGTCCTGGTTTTCTGGTGTCTCTCCCTTTTTTGTAGATGGTGGTAAAACAAAATAAGTACTACTTAAAGCTTACCTGGATTGGTATACAAGGGCAGAAAGTAGGTGGCTCCTTGTTACTTGGGATTGGCTTCACTGGGCTACACATTTTTAATCAGATATTATAATAAATTCAAATAAAATATTTATCAAAATTTTGTGGACGTTTTTAGATTTTATTTTATTTTTACATGGAATTTACATTGAATTATACTAGAAAATATGATATTTTTCTTATTTGTGGTTATTTAATTAGGGATCAGTGAAATAAATTTAATCCACAACCAAATTATTAGTCTATGGTGACATTATGAACAGGTTAAGACGGTACTTAATTTAGGTATGTGTGTTCAAAGATATGTGGTATCATCAGCCTATCGCCCTCCACTGCTGAACGAAGGCCTTTTTTTGTGATAGGAGAGATCCGGGAAATGCTATTGTTAAGACATCCGGACACCTCCTAGCGCCTGTCCGCAGTGGCGCGGGCACTATCTCCGGGTACATTCTCCATTTAGGCAACGTCCGACAGGGAAGGCGCCAAAAGCGTGCCCTATTCTGAGAAGTCAGAGCCGCCGGTGCACCGTGTTGTGCCATTGACTTGACAACCCCCGTGTACAGCCGTCTTGTCGCAACGCTTGCTCGACCCAAATTGGGCAAAAGTCACCCTAGGGAAGAAACAGCGCCGACTAACTTTGGAGCAAGCTGTCAGAAGTGCTCGTCGAAGAGTCACCTCTCGTCAAGAATCAGGTCCAGATACCACATCTGGGCCTGAACCGGTACGAGGACCGAAACGACCACGATGGAGTCGGACCACGACGGGGCCCATGAAGCAAGAGAGCCTCTGTCTTATCCAGGGCCACCCGTACGCCCAGCGCCTTAATGCGCCCGACCACCAGAGAGACTCCCCTGGTGGCTAGACGAGCGGCTTCTTGAAAGTCTACCCCCCGGGCTGTACCCAGCGTGTCATCGGCATAACAAATAACACCCAACACGTGGGGGCGGTGACCTCGAAGGGCCCAGTCGTAACCCATGTTCTACAGGAGTGGTCCAAGAAGAGACCCCTGCAGAACATCGCACGACGTGGGCCGACGCCTCAAAGCACTATCTTGGTCCTCGTACATAACGGTACGCTCCTCTAAGTAGTCTGCTACCAGCCGCCTCAGGTACTCTGGCATCCCATGATATTGAAGTGATTCCTTGATGCAGCTGAATGGGAGACTATTGAATGCGTTGGGGATGTCCGACGACACCGCCATCAGCACGCCGCCACCGATCACCGCCTCTTCGGTCACGGTCCTGAGGCGCAAAACAGCGTCAACCGTCGAACGCCCCGCTCGAAAACCGGATTGAGAGGTCCTGGACGATGCGTCCAGAGTGAATTCTCTCAAACAATTTAGGCCGCGACCGAATCGGTAGGCCGTCTCGGCTTCCTCAATAGAAATAGCTTTCCGCTCTACCACCACTAGCCAGACGCTAAGCTAGCGTCGAATGGATCCGTAAAATAGCCGCCCCTACTTCCGAATCCCAAACGGGTAGAACATCATCCACGTTCTCCTCGTCGTCGATGCTGAACGAAGGCCTCCCACAAGGAACGCCTACCATCCCGGTCTTGGGCAGTCCTCATTCATCCGCTGCTAGCTATTTTCTTTCAAGAGGAGAGTATATAAAGTCAGTCAGTTATCAAATAATCCCTAACTCCTGACATACATTCGGTTTTACATACTATCCTTCATGACAAAAAGTACAGGTTTCGAGGGAAGGTAAAGTTACTTCACGCGTAAACGCAAAAGCGTATTAATAAATCTTCACTATGGATTTTATCTCGCACGCTCTAAAAAAACGAAAGACTAGTTTCATATTAGCAGCGCTAATATAAAAAAGAAAGAACAGGATTCTTGCATGAGTGCAAGAAATATAAATAACATATTGACATAGAAGTAAGTAAATGGGTTGTTTACAATATAAACTTGTAACAGGACTATAAACTTAGTACTGTAAAAAAAGTATACATTGGATACCAGATGGGATCGGTTGTATGTTAGACGGATTACGTAAAAATTTAAAAAGATTTTGTACCTTGACAGATAGCAATTAAACTTAAATTATGTTAACTAATGACATATTAACATACCTAATTCATATTAATGCAGTGTATGGAAATACAGAAGCAAGGATATGCCAAACATACTTTATTAGGTACTTAATGATGCGAGCATTATTTAAACTATTTTGTACTGCATCACAGTTGACTAACAATTTAATATTTAAATAAATAAAGCATCTGTAGTCAGTAAGGTGCTAACTACTGTTAAGTAGTACATTTTTTAAATCAAGTATTTAATTCAACAACTGGGCATCAATGACAAAATCGCCAGGTCAATGACAATAATTATAATTTAAGACTCGTACTAATCATACTAACTAACTCTTTAACAATACGTACGTTTGTGCAATAATAACTCTGGCAGTGCCTACTTATACTTAATATACAGAACCATTTTATTTGACGTTTAGATCGGACTTAACTTTTATAATTTTATAAAAGACGAAAATACTGGTACATAACATAATTCAAATTAGACAACTGACAACTTGCTAGAATTTTGAATTGTCAAACCTATGTGAGCAAGAAAGGCAATTCAATAATTCAGTTTATATAATCTTGTAGTATAGTTCACACGCTTCTAAAATAAGTAAAAAAATTGCAAAATTATATTACTAAAATATATATTAATATAATTATAAATATTATATTTCTCACTGTTACGTTACGTATAAATAATACAAGATGTAAGTGTTATATCGCTCGGATTCACCTCCTCATATCATGGTATTTAGTAAAATAAAATCCTACTAAGCTTGTAGTGCGTGACGAGTTGCAGACGTTCATGGGCGGCGATGGTCGCTTTCCATCAGGTGACCCGCCTGCTCGTCTGCCCACTCGACATAAAAGTACATGTGATTCATTAGTGTTAAGCCAGTACAATTTATGCTTTGAGAAAGTATCTGGATGAGCAAATCTACTTAGAATAATATAGCAAAATAGTAGTAGTAGTATTTTGCAACAGACGGGAATGACGATAGTTTTGTCTGTTCATAAAAGTAGCACTCCACGGGTCAGTTTCTTCACTGGAGCCGGTTTAAACGGTGTATGTACGGTATCATTAGGGTCTCTGTTATAATCTAGAAATGAAACTTTACGATAACCCCAACAAACCTTCGCCTCTGTGTCATCCGTAATCCTTTTTGGCCGAACATGCACGTTTATACTGAGTTCAATGCAGTTCAAGCCTCGAGATAGTTTTCAAATATTCAAGTGATTGTTTTTCACGGAACTGAGATAGATATAGTTTTGTCCTATTCCTAGCAGTACTCGCTTCGCCAAATGATCCCAAGTCCCTAAAAATAAATATCATAAGTATATTATGTTATAAATAACGATATGTTTTACATAAAAATTAATATGATACGATTTTTTTCAGGTGCTGCGGATGTGGATGCCCCAAGATAACTATTTACACATGCTGTACAAAGATATGTTAGAGAAGTACTCATAGGTAAAATTTGTCATCCAGCCTAAGAGTACCTACTGTACGATGAAAATCTGTGCTGATTTTGTGCTGTCCATGTCCTAATAAAATGAAGTTGTGAACGTTTAACTGGTGGTTTTGTATTAAGACTTATGACTTAGGCAAAAAAATAGAATAACTACTAAACAGATGAAACATTGTACGTACTAGTAATGGTAGTAATGGTAAATCTACTGCTTATTTTAACTGTGCCGTAGTTCGTGAGATTTCCGAGCGTCAATACCAATGTATTCTTCGCTCGGGATCGGCCCTCCCCCGATCCCGTTCAGCGGTCTTTTTCTGGAGCATTACAAGCTTCACAAAAAGAGACCAGCCCAGCCCTCGTCACCCGCTGGCATTGCAGCAATGATTACTGACGGGGACAGGTCAAATCCAATTTTGTTTACCAGGACCTAGCGTTCTGCGGCCCACGCGGGGCAGCCTTCCAGTTGCTGATCTATGCAATGCTGCAATGGCAATGTGCCGTCGCTTCGCGTCCGATCCGGGTACTCGCCGAAGCAACCATGCCCAGTGAGTACCTGAGTCAGTCGGCAGGTGACGCGACTTCCTACCGACCTACCTACCCATGCTTCGATGTTAGGCAGAACGGCAGCAACAGCATTCCATGGCTGTTACCAATGCCTGTCGTCGTTGATATCAAAAAAGGGAAGTGCCAGGACGGTCGCCGCCGCCTCCGACGAGATGGTGCGGTATCCACGTACGATCCGAATGGCCGCTACCCGCTGCGCTTGATTGAGCTTAGCTTCGCAGCTGGTGGGTGGAAGCCGATAGGCCAAGCGCCATGTCGGTGCTCCGCAGAGGGCCATGGATCGTATCACCCTACAGTAGAGCGACGAACTTCTTCCCGCGGATCCACTAAATTAGGCAACGGCTTCTGTAGGGAGCCACTAACTCGGGGGATCATCTGCTCGTAATGGCTTTCGAATATTTGCAGTGTTGATCTGTACCTACATTTTATACTAAATGTTTGTGCATTTGGATTGAGTGATCTTTTTTTATTTATTGACCAAAATCTAATATATTTAATCAAAAATAGTCAACTCATAGCCCAAGGTAAAAAAATGACACTAGAGGGTCTTTTCATCTCAAATATTTAACAAATTGTCACAATATTTTAAAAAACCAACCTATTTAAAGCTAATTCCTGGTATCTATGACAGTATCATTGGATCACTCTATATAGATACCATTTTGTCTGAGAGGTAATAAGGTTTAGGTGACTTTTCTATACATCTAAGTTTTATCCTAAAATGTATGTTCAGAATTTTGTTCTTCCGATCTCTACCGTGATCATATATGTAAACCTTGTAACAACCCAAGCTTTCATATCCACCTGCCCACCGTAAGTTCGATCGAGTAAACCTTCAATCAATCCGCTAGACACCACCAATCAAATACTGCCCACCACGACGAGTTCAGCGAAGCACACCTTCAACTGAACTAAAAGACAAGATGAATGCGAGAAGCCCAAAATCGATCAAAGTGGCGTGCAATGGGAGAGCAGTGGACTGCGATAGACTGATGATGCGATGAAATTTATAAGGCTTAATAATAAGCTCTACTATCATTGAAAAAAAGTTTCCATTTATGTACATTTACTTAAATGAATGCGTTTTTTTTACTATACAGCTTATTCAACATTTCGTCGCCCTAGTGCTTATTTGTTCTATCGACCAATTTATCAAAAGTCACTTTAAATGTAGTATTGTTACGACCTTAATTTCACACCTGTTAAGTGAAACTTTTGCTTTTAAAACAAAAAAACGATTTGAATTATACGATATTGTAAAAAAGATCTTTTCTTATGCTGTGTCCAGTTTATGTCCTACATCGTAAAGAGGTATTGAGTGCTTGAGTGATGTATTTCCACTCAATCGACTAACCCCAGCTATGTATGTCCACCATTTTGTATGACTTGTTCCGTACCTGACAAAATCACAAGAGACGCTGAAAATATTGACAAAATAGCGTGTTTTGTGCTTAGATATTTTTTTAAAGAAGTACCTTTTTTGACGTGACAACGTCTTATAATTCGATGGAGCCGGCTGCACGCACGAAAAAACATGACTCATGCGGCGTTACCTCGCTCTGAGGCGTTCCATTTAAGGCGTGAAGTGCAAGCGAGAGCGCGGAACGAGTGACAAAGAGGCACAATTGGCCTCCGCCTTCCGCAGCGTTCGACATCTGTCTCTCTCCTACTTGAGTGAGCGATGCGTCCGCGTGGACAGCTGCTACTCGTATACAATAATACATTTTTGAAAAATGCAACCATTCCATCAGTATTTTCTTATGACGTTGTCACGTTCAACTATCGTCAGTAAATCGACTTTACAGACAACCAATTTTTTTTCTGTGCGGAAATCCCCTCGGATACCACCTACCGGTGGCTATGTCGGATTCGAATTGACTAAAAACCGTCTTGGGTACCAGTAGCCGGGGAACCAGGTGTACCCTAGAAAGGAAATCCCTGGTACCCCGACGTACCTCGGGGCTTCTACGGCGGGTAGATGACTCCCACCTGAGTGGGAACCCCCATGTTCCCTTAGTGCTCAAAAAAGAGCACGCGCGCTCCGCACCGCGTCTCGCCGCTACCCCGGCCTGCTTCTGTTTGGGGTGACAGATGGCTTCACCTGTCACCCACAGGCCTGCGCTTATGGAGGACGGAGGTCGGTCTGCGACCTCCGGCGCCTGAGTCGTCTGTAACTTATTACTCGTACAAAAGTAAAAATAAACAGACGCAAGTTCAAACTGAAGAGTATTTTTTAATTTACCTTCAAGTCCGTTATGATTTGAAACAGTATGTTGTTTTCTTGCTTCGTACGGTGATGTTAAAAAACCTGTACGATTTTTTTTGTCTTCTATACAAGCCGTTTTCTTATAATAACGTGTTCAAATCGGTCGAGCCGTTCTCAAGTGATGCTCCGTCATAGGTTATGTCACCACTTCGGACATCACATTTAGTTGCTGTAGATGTGATAGCGATACGAAATCGTTGCCTGACGAAGTTTATTTAGATAAAGTTTTTAATTTTAAAATTAAATCCATACATCAAAAAATTACAAATGAGAAATTGTCTATATCTTTGGACGAGACTACAAATCTTTAGGATAGAAATATAATGAATTTATTGGTTTGGAGTAGTCTTCCAGCGTATGCTGCGCGGAGTCCCAGTCGTCTGCGCAGTGTTGAACAATGCAATGCTGCATGGGCATTGTGCCGCCGCCTCGCGTCCGATCCGGGTACTCACCGAAGCAACCATGCCCAGTGAGTACCTGAGGCAGTCGGCAGGTGATGCGACCTTCCTACCTACTCATGCTTCGATGTTAGGCAGAACGGCAGCAACAGCATTCCGCGGCTGCATTACTCGAGATCTTGATATCGAGTTCGATAAGACGATTTCAATAAAACAGTTTTTTCAAAAAAATACTTTACTTGCGACTTTCTTTGTTTAGGTGAAAAAATTTAAAATGCCTTCTGATTGTTATAATAATAAAAATGAAATTTGTTTTTGTTTAATGAATGTTTCTTTAATAAAAAACTCACTATGGCGGTGACAAACTTTTCTCTCTCGTTTCATAAAAATCGTTTTATAAAATCCAATTCGCAATTATGTTGTTTATTGTAAATTATACCAGCCATCCTCAAAGCTCATTTTTTATTTGACATTGACTGAAATTGGAATCTGGAAATTGGACTTTTTGCAACCGTTGGACATTTTGGGCATTGGACATTCTGAACCTAAACGTAAAATCGGGGATTGCTCTACTAACTAAGAAAAAAATAATATTAATTTTATAAGGAAATGAAAAGTGGTTGTCGTAAGACCCGACTGAAAACAACGAAGGACAACTGTATGCAGGATGTAATAGTAGTATTAAAAGAAATACATACAAGACTATAAATTTAAATCATTTCTAAGATTTTCGGACAAAGCCTACTGTGCTAATTAAACAGGTCTAAAATAAAATCCGTGTGGTGACGGATTAAGAATACAGAGTGTCACCACCCCTATTCATCTCGTGGGTGTCGTAAGAGCCGACTAAGGGAAGAAACTACGCAGAATAACAGCACTGCAGAGAGAAGGAAAACTTGACACAAACCCTATACCAACCCGTTTGGCCAGCGTGGTATAGTAGGCCAAAACCTCCTTTCTAAGGAGAGGCCTATGTCCAGCAGTGGACTATTAAAGGCTGTTGATGTGATGTGATGTGATAATGAAAAGTGGCTGGTCAATCCATACGGATATAAATCGTTTACTAAGGGTAGGTAGCAGTTATAAATTTTAACTAGTTTATGAGATATGGATGCCTATCAGTCACGACTGAGGAACCACCTTTGACCGATTGTAACTTTGAATTTTATTGTAAATTAGCCTCTAGTTTGTAAAAGAAGCCCTCTTTTACAAACTAGAGGCTAATTTACAATAAAATTTGCGTGTAATCTAAATACTTCCATTCCCTAGCTCCATTACATTTGTGAACTTTTACTAAAGGCTGACGCATTCAAAAGCTCAAAGTTCAAATGTGCACTACATTTGGACAATGGACTCAATGGGAACAACATGCGTTATAATTAAAAGATGAGGAATTTTGAACTTTTGAATGCGTCTATGCAAGGTCAGTCTTTATTAAAAGTGGGTATATAGCTTCTAAACGTCAACCGTTGCTTGGGCTGCGGACCAACGGATGTTGTGTTCGAGGTTTGTATAATAGTATTCTCATTCATTATTTTCGAAAAACGTTAAACGTGTTCTTGACGACGGCATGTAAGTATATACTTACGTTCCCCCTCATTACCATTTACTAGAACATGGCAAATTTACTAAATATTCTAATCTATATAGATTGTTTTCACTACAGTTAATGAGGGATGCAAGAAAATGTTCGTGAATTCTAAAAAAATAAAACACTATGTAAGCAACTATCACTTACCGCCACATATAATAAATAAAATGTACACATAGTGAATTATTACAATATCAATAAACTTCATCTTTCAACAAACTTCAACACTTACTACATAAATTATAATTTAAAGTCCCCCTATTTATTTTATTACAAAAGCACATTATCACTTGTCATTAAAACATGGGTACACGAATTGGTACACAGCAACCGCTTTGAGGACCCTGCAAATAAAAGCAGAGGAATGATATTGATATGAATCTGATGCAAGTGGTGTTCTACTTGTGGATTTTATTTTAATGGTGACGATGTTCCCTCTTTTGGAGAAGGCACAATATAAATAAAAAATGTGACAACATAGATAAGGTACCATTGACAAACTGCTGCATCGTTATTAATCATCAAAAAAAAATTATATTAAATTAATCAGGTTATCGCCGTCCACAGCCAAACGAAGGTCCCCCAAAGGAGCGTCAACTATCCCGGTCTTGGGGGATATATTTTAAGCTTTCTCCTTTTACAAATGTGTTAAATATAAGAAGATGTACATAACATTGTTTACCAAATTATTGGCAAGAAATTTTTTTTTTGTAAAATTTGTAAAGGAAAGGTATTAATCTCCAAATTGTATAAAGATTTTTTTTCATAAACCTGATACCTTAAATTGTAACATTATAAAAACTTTAGTGGTTTATATTATTGTCATTCTTACTAAGACTGTACTGTGTTAATAAGAGAATAATTGAAGAAAAAATGAAAACATTTTAAATACTCTTTAACATTGGTCTGTAGACTCTTCAACCTATAGCTAGTTTAAATGCTGCAATTACATATATATATTTTATAAAAGAACATACCTGTTTCACATAGTTTTCTATCTCGTATCGTACACTGGGATCAGACCTTTTGTAGCATTCCGCAGGTAACCCAGACTTCCTAGTTTTGAATACACTGTCGTGAACAATTAGAGGGCGACGTCGAGTCACTGGATCAAGTTCACAATGTGGACAACAGCTGCGACATACAGGAAGGCATGGATATGGTGCAGGAGGAGCTCTAGGGCAAATAGGACGTTGTTTTGGTAAAATAGGTGGTGGACATTGAGGGTTGCATCGCGGGAGCACTGGTTGGTAACAAGGTATTGGGTCTGGGCAGGGATACACCTGGAAATAAACAAACATGGTTAAGTATTCATCGTCATCGTCATTCAAGTATTAGATCTTAACGTATTTTAAAGATTTAAAATATAATGATTAAATACCGGTGGTGGATCACATGGTGGCGGTGGAGGGCAGCATGGTAGCACCGGTGGACTGCAAACAGGCTGAGGAGGAGGTAAACAAGGTTCTGGAGGTGGACAGCGTCGAGGCTTGCACGCTGGTAATATGGGTACTATTGGTGGTACTAAGTCAGGTATAACAGGCGCAGGACATTGTCTAAACACCGGCCGGCATCGGCATGGTAGACAAGGCGTGCACGGAACTGGAGGCGGGACGCATGGCTTACAACACATGGGTGGCGGCGGACACGAAGTGCAGCAAGGCTCGCGACCACAGGGCAATATAGCTGGGCACGTTGAGCCAAAATTACAGCAACATGGTGAACACATTATATGGTTTTTAATTTATATACTTTATAAATTACTTGTAAATTTTATAATTTTTTATAATTTTTACACATGATTCATCTTTTTGACAATTTTTGATATAATACTTAATTTTTTTTGTAGACAATATAATTACAATATTTCAAATTTTGCTCTGACAGTTACCTGCCAGTGACCAAAAAAAATAAATTTATTAAAAGTAATGCATTGTCAATCTAAATTTCATCTGTAACATCTTGGACTATTTTATATTGAAAAATTATTGTTAAATAAAAAGTGCAAAATCAAAATGAGTGCTCCGTTTTATAGTTTTGATCCCTGCGTTGCAACAGGCCAGCCTTGTGGAGCTTGTTATCCATACACGACGAAGCCATGTGTTGCTTCCTGCAACGATCTCAGGCCTTGTTCTGTGTGTCCTGGAGGAGGGTGTTCACCGTGCCCAGCTCCAGTCCGACCGTGTCCCGAACCTTGTCCAGCTCCTCCAATTTTACCATGTTTACCACCATGTCCTCCCTGTGATAAGGTAAGTAATAACAATATGAATGCCATCATAGTAAATAAAAATAATGTTATCCCCGAAATATTAAAATATTATTGTAGTAAATGAAAATGAAAATAAATTTAATTTTAGTTATTGTAGATAATATGGATTATGAAATATTTTTTGAGACTAAATTTTTGAGACTAATTGGTCTGAGTAGGCACATCCTTCAATGGGAACACAAATTATGTGCCACTTTTACCTAAAATTTTAAAAACTCTATTTCTAGCTGAAGTTCTTTTAAATTTAGATTACCAATAAACCGAGTTCTATAAATTTGGTAATTTTTGCACATTTGGTCCACAGTTGGTAATTCTTGGCACTCTGACAATATTTGCGTATTTACTTTTTAAATAGGTTTTATTTTTAACCTAGTATTTGTTATTCTAGCCACGTACAGAACCACCGAAACCCGTACCAGTTTGCGACACGGTGGCGATACCTTGCTGTCGGCCGAATCGCTGCAGGGCGTGTCCTTGCTATTGTACCACAGAGCCAGGAGTATGTATGCCCAAGCGTTGCAGTTACGCAGGTGTACCTGTCTGTTGTGGCTCTTGTGGCCCTTGCATGCCAATATGGTAGAAGTGTTATATCAACGTTTAGGAGTGAAAATGTGTTGTAAAATGTCATCGAAAAACAAATATACTTTTAAAACAAACTGTTTTTATTTTTCCGGCAATAACTAGTAATAACTAACAATAAACAACTACTACTAGTCACTCGGTGAGTGAACATTTATTCGCATACGCTTTTCGAATTTGTGAAAAGTTAGTGAACCTCGCAAAATCTCTAAGATTACTTAAACTATTAAGATGAGTGATGTCACTGCTTAGCTAAGACTTTGTAATCTTAAATTATTTAGTTGATAAATAGATAACCTTAGCTGCGAGAATATACAGGGATATCAGGCAAGAAGCCACGGCTCTAAAACTCGTGTTTACATGAAAGAAATTTCAGAAATAGAGACCTGAAATGTCAAGGTGTGTTGTTTGTAAGTGCAAAAGTCGTGATTCGACATATCAGTATTCGACAGTTGCAATCCTTCGCCCCCCTCACACAAAAAGGACAATGCACTTCTGCCATCAGGTGACACGGCTGCCCGTTTGCTCCCTGTGCCATAAAAAAAACCAGAACACCAGTCAAGAACGAATTTTACAACTCATTCATTTAAAAAAGGAGTGTGGAAAAAAAGATTTCAATTTAATTCTTCCAAAGTTATTATAGTTATTACCACTAGATACAAAAGGATAGTAAGATTTTTATTTAGGTCTTAAATTCATCAAACAAATTCAGATAAAAACAAGCTAAAACTTTGCCTGTTTTAAAAAAAATATTAAACGATTTTTATCTGTCATTATAAATACTGTTCTGATTCACTATTTAATATATTATATATTCCAAATATGTATGGGTATGTGTGTATGTATGCATGTGTATTTGTATATGTGTAATGTCCCTAGATGTATATTTGTGTATGAATGTGTTTGTTTATGTTTATGAATATTTTTAAATACACGTGATATTGTGTTACGTGTATGTATACTACCCTAAATTGTTAAATACCTAAAATCCGTGTTAAGGTTGTCTGGAAGAGATCGCTGTGAGCGATAAGACCGCCGATTGTTACGTTTACTTATTTGTAACTCATCTTTTGTTTTTTTTCTATTAAAGTGTATACAATGAAGATATAAATATTTTTTTTTTTGTTCTAGATAGTTTTGATTTTAGGGAAAAGAATAGTAAATTTAACTTTTAGGTTCAAAATTTTCTGTTTTTTAATATTACTCATTGATGTACCACATCAAATTACCGGCATGTACCTAAACGAAGAATTTTGACATGTTATTTGTGTAGAGTTTAACTAAGAATTATAAGAATAGATGCATTCATTTCTTAGAATAACTACTCGTAAAAACCAAAATATGTCGACTAAGTCTGAAAATATAAATACTATGGTAGTCCCCTTTTTATTCGTCTTCCAGATTAATACAGAGAAGTAGGCCGTGAAGTCGTCAGTCAGTTGGTGTAAAAGTGGATCAGCCACGCTCATGAAGTCAATAAGCATGCAGGCAAATGTAGCTTCAAGAGTACCATGAATTCCATGTTCCAAAAATAATCGTATGATTAGTAATAATATTAATAATAACGTCTTTATTTAGGTAATTTTAAAAAAATAGTTTCTATTGTGTAGCTGAAATACTTCAAAGATCCATCTATAAAAGAAGAAACTGATTCACTTACTAATTTGAACAACGCACAGCTGAAACCGCTGGGTCTAGAAGCATTAAATTTTGCACAAATGTTTTTTTAGGTCACGTAGATATGCACTAAGAAAGGCTTTTTAAAAATTTGTGGGTGTGGTGGATGGTTGTATAGGGAACTATCTTTTTAACTTTTCACAAGTACGTACTTCTGTTTGTTACTCAATCACATCAACGGCTTTGTGGATTTAGATGAAACTTCTTACATAAGATTATTTATCCCGACCAAATTCATTGACAAAATTGGCAAAAGCAAGTCCATCAAAAATTTTTTTTTTCTTATTTTTTTAAAGGTCTACTAGCATCCCAACTTACTAGTATTCCCGTTAACCCTTTCCGCTAAGCTAAATTGCTTGTAACTGTACTGGTCAGGATTCGAACCCACGACCTCTTGATCGCAATGCCTTAACCACTAGGCTATCGCCGCTTACACTAATTGGTTCACGCTTTCAGAAATAGCAATAATGTTCAAAAGAAACTAAACATATTAGTGTTACTTAAATCAGTAGATGTCGTCACTTGCACTAAAGTATTTTTTCACATGAAACAATAGCGATTACTGCTTATCTATTTTGTACAATAAATTCATAGGTCCGTGTTTAAAAGACGTCACAAGTATCGGTTAAACTCAAACTTTGAAACTGTGCTCAGTACATCCAAATCTCCTAAGTATAAAATCAAAATTTACTTGCGCTAGCGGAGCTTAAGAACCCTAATAATTTAAATATAACCCACTGTTTGTTGTATTGTATACTTCTAGTTTAATATAGTACTGTGTCAGGAAAATAAAAACTCATTGCACAATGCTAGCCAAGAAAATACAAAAAAAATCTTTATTTAATCGGCTGTCAAAGCAACATCCATCATTTGTATGAAAATTTTATAAATGAGTACAAAAATATAAAACTACTAATTCATAATCTTATGATTGAATAAATTCTTAAAAAAATTTTTTGTATAAAAAACTCAAAAGTTATATAAAAATCATATAAACCATATAAATTGCAAGTAAGTTTTTTTGTGTAAATAACTTTTATATAAAACAATCGAAGCGTGACTATGCCAATCGGACACCAAGTATTCTGTACCAGCGTTGTGTATTAGTATATTCTACATAATTTTTTCCACTCTAAAAAGCGAAAATAATTGAGTCTAACAGTTGGCCACTAAGCCCCTTTCTGTTGTCGCTGTGTCGCAGCCGAGTTGTCGCCATGACGTTTCGCGAATGTAAATAATTTACATTCGCGAAACGGCTGTTGTATAAAATTTTATAAGTTTATCCTCAGGGCCACATCTATACATGTGATTTCAGATACCATCATATAGAGACAGCAAAAATATATCGTTTCTTGAATGAACCCTGTGTTCCCCTATTTTTACTATTATAGTGGCAATAGAAATTTCACTGTCCCTATTTGACCGACTGGATGGTCTAGTGGTTAGTAATACAGACTATATCCTGAGCCAGTGGTCCTGGGTTCGATTCCCGCCCGGGCAAAATGGAGTGATGAGCAGGATCGTTTTTATTGTTTATCTTGATGTAAGTTAACCATATTAGCTATATACATTTAAAAATGTTTGTCAGTAGTCTGGTTACGTACCATAATACGGTTTTTCGCCTCTTCCGGGATCGTAACTGTTGTATGTGAAATGTGTTAAATATTGTTATCGTAATCATCACGATAGCTATTACAGCCCACTAGCAGACAGGCGGATGGAAAGTGGAGGGTTCATAAAAGGATTTTTTTGACATCCTTTGAAAAGTGACAATGAGTTTTATAGTTAATACTTAAAAATAAGTGTCGTTTAATTTAATGACAAAAAGATTAAAACGGGTTATTGGTGATTTTCTTTCAGAAAATTTAGTCTAGTCAATTATAGTTTACAAACATGTCAGTGCTGCCTCGCGGCTACGAATGCTTCCCTCGCCCTGCGAGGTACGGATGCGTCAGGGGTGAATGGAGCATATACTACAAGAGGCCCAGGTGTGGACAACCCAGACCGCAGCCGTTCCAGAGGGAGGTTCCGTGCTACTGCTCTGGCCCTAGTAATGCGCCTCGCGAAAGGTTAACTCTCTGTTTAAACTTTTTTGATGAAATTTAAGTAATGTTAAAAAATATTTCACATAGCACTTCGCAGTTGAACATTTCACCACTCTGGAATATAGGGCATTCATAATAACCCTGGCTTAGAAAATACAGACACCGTTTTTTTTTTGCCATTTAAAGCTATTTTTTATTAATAATTAATCGACGCTTAAAGGAGAAGTGTTATAAGTTTGTTTCCGTGTGAATGTCTGTACATCACAACTAAAGGGTTCCCCTTTTTCCATTTTTTGGAAGAAAGGAGATGTGGTGAAAAATATCCTATTGCCCTACAGCTATAAAGGAGGATAGTAGGAAACAAAAGAAAGTATATATGTATAGCAGTTCAAATAACAATTACATTGTAATCGTATGAAGACTTTATTTATTTTTTTAAATTCATACATAGATTACCCTAGGCGGAGCGTTAAGTGGCCTATATTTCATCCCCCATTACATCATACTCTATTTACAAGGTCAAAATTCATGAAAACGAATTCTGTGGTTACTCGTGATAGACAGTCACGCAGTTATAATATTAGCAAACATAATGATTTATGAGTAACGCCATATTGTACCGGAAGTTCAATACGAATCCAATCCCTGCATCTGCAATGCATAATTCAGTAGCCATACCACATACACATACAAATACAAGCCCGTCAAATAGGTATTCTAAATTTAAAAGGAATGACCGTGATTTTTACGTCATACACGTTTAAAAGTACGTCTAAGATATTTAGTATTCAACAACAGACTGCAGAGACGACACATATAATATACTAATCACAATACTCTAAGAAGAAAAGTTTCAAATATACGATAAAAGTATTATACGCCTATAATAACAACGAGAACGAATGCAACGAAGATTTATGAGCGACCAAAATCTCAAAACGCAACATTAAAACGATATTTTAGTTATGCTGCATTAGAATTGCTTAAATATGGCTAGTTATGACAGTTGCTTCTGAAGGTCCAGACAACAAATATTTCTGAACTGTATGCATTATGGTTAAGTCTTATTCACCATAATCTAAAGCACTGTAGCCTTGACTGACGGGCACATATAAGACAAACACTGCCTGTGTACAGGCTCGATTTATTTTCTTCTAAAATGTGTGCTATGTTACTAATATAATAATAAGGCTCCTATCCTGAACTGCTTTCTTCTTTCTTTGTATTGTGGTTGTCTCTTTAGTTATAAAATATCTCTGAGTTCAGTGTGCCTCTTGGCAAAGGCCTCCTCTAACAATTTCCATTGTACTCTGTCTCTAGCAACCCTTCTCCATTTTGGGCCTGCCGTCAGTTTTAGTTCATCTTTCCATCTCTTGCTTTGTCCTCCTCTGTTCCTTCTCCCAGGGTACTTCCCTCTAGGGTACCAGTCTATTATGTTGTTGCTCCACTTGTGTACCGCGCAGCATGTGCCCAGTCCATCTCCACTTCAAACTATCTATTCTAGTAAGTACGTCTGTGACTTTTGTCTTACTTCTTATGATGGTGTTTCGTATCTTATTTTGTTTCTTAATACCTATCATACTTCGTTCCATAGCTCTTTGGCAGTGTTCCAGCATGTTTCTGTGATGTTTCGTAAGAGCCCAGGTTTCACACCCATATGTAATACATGGGAGAACGCAGGTATTGAAGACCTTCCTTTTGATACCTATACTGAGGTCTGTGGATTTCATGATCTCTTTCAGTGACCAATATCTTTTCCATCCGTTAGCTATTCGTCTTTTGATTTCTTTTGTAGTTGTGTCTGTATGTGAGATGATTTGTCCTAAATAGATATATTCATCTACATGTTCAACAATTTGGTTGTTAATTTTTATTTCATATTTGTTTGAATTCGTTAATAGCTCGTTTTGTTTATATTCATAAGTAAGCCCACTTTCTCACTCTCCTTATTTAGAACTTGTATCATTTCTTCTAGGATCCCTGGCTGTTCTTCAAACAAAACAATATCGTCAGCGAATCTAAGATGGTTTAATTTTTGACCATCTATATTTAGTCCATGTTGGTCCCAGATTAGCTTTCGAAATATGTTTTCCAGCACCGCCGAGAACAGCTTTGGGGACATCGGGTCGCCCTGTCTGACGCCTCTTTTTACTTGGAATGTCTCACCCAAGGTTTCCAGTTGTACTCTTGCCTTACTGTTGGAGTAAATGTTTTTAATGGTGTTTATGTACACTGTCGGGATTCCCTGGTTTCGTAAGCTTTCCCATATGGCTGTGTGGCTAATGCTGTCAAATGCCTTAGAATAATCAATAAAAGCCATATATAGCGATTTGTTGTACTCATTGTATTTTTCCATAATTTGCTTGACTGTCCATAATTTGCTTGACAGTACATTCTGACATGTTACTAATAGTATTGTTTAAATATTACTAATTATAGTGAAATATCAAGACTACTTCAACACGTTTCAATAATAAGACTACCTCTGGGCTAAGGGTATTTAATTTTAATAAGCAGTGTACACACACAGGGTTTATTTACCTTAATCAATCAAGTTATTCATTTAGATGAATAAATCATGTCGAGAAATTTAATCTACGAGTACAACCGGAATAGCTGAAAGCTTTTTCGAAAAGGCCAATTCAATGTTTCTCACATACTTAAATATTTCTAAATACATACATATTATAGAAATATTGCACCCAAACACATAATAAACGATCATGCCTATCAAATAACTCATTTGTTCTGGGTGGGAATCGAATCCACAACCCCTGACCACTAGACCAACAGCTCCGTCAACCATGTTACAATAGTGTCTTTTTTCACTTGAATCAGTAACTAAAGAAAACTGTTGGAAAAAGCTATACCTATTCATATCAATTAAAATTTTCAGGCCTTGCTGCTATGACTTCCCATGTAAGGCCCATTGCTTCAATCACGGTGCATGCACGAGACCCAGCGGCAGATATGCCCGGACCGTGTGGTACCCTGGCGAGTGTTGTCCAGTCATCCCTCCGTGTCAAGCGTTCACTTGCCCAAGCCCGCCTTATCACCCTTGCTGCTACCACACATGTAATAAACTGGTCTGATTTAAAGCTTTCGTCGATGAAAGCGTTGAAAGACTTGGTGCATATTCTTCACAGTTGTGTTACATTTATTATAAGCTGTTCGTTGTCTGTTTATTGTAAGTGAGAAGGAACCAACCGTGATGTGTAATAAATTTAAAACCGCCAATGCTTGTTTTATTCTCAACATAAATTATTTACATTGCATTCCATCACTGTTTGCGCTAAATATGAGAATCTAATATCCTTAACAAACATGCAATTATAACCATATAACGTTAACAATGGCAGGGTGCTAATACTGTTAATTGTTGTTTCTCCTAAATATTTCGAAGTGACATTGGTAAGAATTTATGTGTGCAAGGACTTATGAATACTTCAATAACTAGTTTATAAACTTCTCGTGCTATTCTGGCACCCGTGAGCATTCCTCCCACGATTTTGCATCACATTGAGCTTCCGACATTAGTGGTTTTCGCGCGCTTTTCGCGAACACTTGTCTTGCCTTTGTCGCTTTTGGCCAGAGCGCATTACTGGTCAAACCTATTTCAGTTTACTACGCATTTTTTTATAAATTTGTGGATTTTACAATATTACGAATGGTTTCCTCAAGATGTCAGTTGTGTTAACTCTTTTAATTTTTTGGATTATTGGTAAGTTTCTCTTTTTCGTATACCGAGTATTCTTTTGTGTATTTGTATAGAAATCTTGTTTTAATGTTAGAAGAAAATCTTAAGGATGCACATCATATCATCATCTTGTAAATTTTACTACGGTGTGTACCTATATAGATTTAATTGCCGTAAAAAATCTTTTTAATTTATTATTTTTGCAAATCGAAGAATTTTTTGAATATATTTCCAGAAATTCTTCGATTTTGAATTTTTTAATATTGATTTTTAATAACAAGTACTAAAAATTATTAAGACTTTTTACGGCCCTAGTCTATTTAACTAACCAGATCAACACGTAAACAAAACAAAATATTTCTTTGTTTCCAAAATACTAATAGAGAAAATGCCGTTGTCTACATTCATGAACAAATATAAGAAGCTGAACACAGAGTTATAGTTTTAATATATCATACTCATACCAATGAGCAGTATCTACACTAAAATTATAAAGGGCTAAAGTTTCTAAGTTTGTATGTTCAGGGTAATCTCCTGTACTACCGATCCGATTTTAAAAATGTTTTCACTGTTAGAGAGGTATTTTTCCCTGAGTGCTTATTATAGGCTTTTTACCGCAATAACCGACATACACACAGGCCTCAGGTAAAAGCTAGTTAATATTAAGTATAGTACGAGCCAATTAATATCAAACGAAACTCTTTAGATTAGGTGCCGCCTACACATCATAATGTCAACATTGAGCCAAGTTCATGGTTACACAAATTATTTTAAAAACTCACATCTGGCTAATCACTGTCTGGCTTTTATTGGTTATTATTTATTCTTCGTATTGTTTTGATAAAATTTGAACTAATCTAATGTTCCAAAAAGTACTATTTCATCGTATTACATCAGTAATATAAATAAATGCTTATTATATAAATGGCATGAATAAAAAACGGTTGAAAATAGTAAGCACTTTGAAATTAAATTAAGCTAATTCATCTTTTAGATACTTAAAGAAATTGATTTATTCGTTAAATAGAGACATTTTATTGTTTTAAGCTTATTCCTGACCTATTTAACTTCTTGTACATTTCCATGTAAAGCTTTTGTACGTAATTCTTTATCTGACTATCTAGACTAAATCTAGGCTAAATTAGATTGTAAAACAAAGAAAGGAGCTCCTCTACAATGCAAAAAATCAGGAAAGTAAATAGTACCTATTCTAGCTTAAGAATAAATTGTGAATATTCGAGAATATGGAAGCAGATTCTAATGGATTTACGAAAACTATTCCTTCCTAAAAAAAGGCCGGCAACGCGTTTCTGACTCCTGAGTTGCAGACGTTCATGGGCGGCGATAGTTACTTTTATCAGGTGACCCGTCTGCTCGTCTGCCCCCTCTAACATAAAAAAGAAAAAACAATGAAAAATAAATAGATATAATAAAATTAGGCAAACAATAATTAATAGCTTTTGTTTATACAACAAAATACCGTGAAATCCATAACAAAAGTTCTTAGCTGAACGGGTGCAACAAAAGTTTCTTAGTATGGCACTGCATGGCTTGAAATAACTAAAATAATAATTTTGACCAGACGTTGTATTCCAATCGTGACTCCCTGTAAGGCAATATGTACGTTTTGAAGATCAACTAGAGCTTATACTTGTGCTATAGTGCATATAGTTGTGGGTGTTAACAGAACAATGAAACCTTTAACAGTTTAGTCGTAATTAAACGTTAGCAATTAAAAATGATTGTTCATCAGAACCAAATGGTTCCGGTTCAGATCCAAATGGTTTGGCAATAATTTAAATAAATTATTGCCAAAATGTGTGAAATAAATGGGCCAAGTTTAAAATAGTCAGCTTGCCCCACTTTCACTATAATCTCTACAAACAATCTAATCTAGATACTGCGATAGCTAACACAAATAAAAACGAAGTTATCTTAATTTACATAATTTACATGAAATTCTTAAAATTTAGGTGGGACTAAGCCATGCATATACTGGTACAGCTCGGCGATTAGTTTTGCCACAACTAGTTTACTTAGATATTCATAAGAGGAAATTTGAACTGATTCGTGTGCAGAAAGGCAGACAGAAACATACTGCAGAAACGCATACTCGAATACCCAGTCTAGCTTAATATATATATATATATATCTTAGCTCTCCTAGCGAGAGTTGAAGCTGGACTAGGTGTGCTGTGTGGACATAATTCATTTTTGAGAAGATAACGTTAACCCAAAACCACAGTGAAAAGCTATCGTAGGGTAGACCGCTTACTTTTAAACAGCTAAAACTGAATTATTTTCTTCGCAGATTGCACGTTTTTGTAGTGAAGCAACTTTTTTGGTTAAGATTTAAGTAATAATACATACAATAAAACTAAATTAAAATTCGCTTCTTCGATACAGCAGCAAATGGTTATATGCCAGGCAATGCTTAGATATTATAGACAAAAGCATAAGGCACATTACAATATATTTATTATATGTACCTACAGTATGTAGGTCCTCAAAAAGGACAAATCAGAATTTGTGTTAAATATTTGTATTTGTGTATATTCTTAATTAAAGATAAATGCATGTAAGATACACTTTTCTAATAAATGAACATTGATAGTTCATAAGGTTTTAAATACCGCCGAAAGTCATTCGTAGCCGTAATAAAACGAAGCGCGGGAACAACTAATATTTTGTTAATATCTACTAGAATAATTATGTACAAAGCTATCCATTTCAGACAGTTAACGAGAAATGATTAAATTTTTTTTGCGAAAACACGACGGATGGATGGACTCCAAGAATGGACTCTAAGAACACTTTTAGACTAATTCATTCGGCTTCTTTAGTCGAATGGGCTTTTAAACGATATTTGATACATTAGTCGCACATTATACAGATTGCCACTTGAAGAATCTGATTGACATAAAGTGCAAAACAAACAGCTAAAGAAAACCATACTTTTAAATCATCAGCTATTTATTAAAGCATGACATCATTTTGAGATGATACATGGGAGAAACATATGCATAAATAGTTATGTAAGTACATATCTATTTGTGCATATGTCATACTGTATGAAGCATACATATGTAAGTAATGTAACTACATTTTCATTTTGTGACTAGCTTGGGTTCTTGTAGCTACTGTATATTTATTTAATATTTGTTTATGAGTAGTGGTACCTTCCTAACAATTGTCACTTTTGTTTATTAACTGGACTTTGAACAACAAACATTTAGTTTTTTTTTATTTGAGTCATTCTCAAAGCAACCTAGATGTTGTAAAGTTGATTTAGCTGTAATTTATTTACTATAATAGGTACAGGGTTAAAGTTTCTACAAATTCAGTATGAAAAGAATAATAAAAACCTAAAACACAAAGTGTGCAAGTCCAAACGCACTTGGTCCGGTTTTTTGTGTACTCCATAACTTTTGTACATACCTCTATCTTTAAGTAATTTAGATTTTAGCGTAAAACTACAGACAGCTACTATCTGTCTATCGTTAAGCCAGATCGAAACTGTCCGACATAATCACCCCGGTAGTTGATATCAGAGGGGATTTCCGCACAGGAAAAAATAAAAGGTCGAAACTGCTAACTATACATACAAGTTTAGATAAATATGATAAATGCTGCTTCATTCTCCGTGTCATTAGAAAAGCACGAGTGAAAATACTTGCGTTGTGAGTGTTTTTAGCCGATATTTACATAACATTAACCTAACGGCAACGATTCTCAATAGTATTTAACAGTTCAGCCAAATATCAATAGATGAGTAGGTGACCGGGCAAGCTTTGTTCTTAATAAAAAAAGGGGTGAGAGTAGAAGGTGAAAAATACTTTACAACCTATTCTCATACCTCTCTACCAAATATACCTACAAAAAAATCATTATAATCGGTCGAGCCGTTTCGGAGAAGTGTGACCACAAACACCATGAGACGAGAAATTTATATACTACACAAAGGAAAAACTAAATTTTGATTCCACGGTCAGTGCAAGCCGATTATAATGTCAGGCAATCAAAGAGATGTTTACTCGCCTAAAGTGCACTTAGTCCTTAAATGTTTGTAGGAATAATACTCGTATGTGTAGAAATCGTAAAAGTTTAAATGATTAGGAAATATTGACAGCACATATTACTTTTGCCCAGTGGTTTAAATGATTACTGTTTATTGTGAATAAGCTCAAGTATTCAGACTTTGGATGTCGATGTGCACTTTTTGCAGTTAATTCATTTATTTAATATATAATTCATTTTTATTAAGAACGTACAGTTGTGTTTTTTGGAAAAAAGTTTTCAGTGTGTATTCGACAGTTAACAGACTTCAGTAGGATGTTACGGGACGATGGATGAGAAGCTTTACGAGTTCGAATCATGCTTTTAAAGAATATATTATGTCCTTTTTATCAAACAATGAAATTGATGTCCGTAATATTAAGAAGCGTTATCGTTGCACATCGTTAATTGATGGTTTGGGTGTTGAGGGTTTTCAGAGGAAATTACTAGAATTACTCTAATGATAATGCGCATGCAACTACCTAAGAAGTTATCATCTTTATAGCTTATTGTGGTTTCAATTACAATGTTTTGAATCATAAAGTGATTTTATTGCGTTTACTCTAGCTTTATGGCCATAATGTATTAATTTAATATTTATGGGACAACATTTCTACAGATTATCTAGAATCTTGTACGTGCATACTATCTCATTGACAGCGGACATGTAGAATTTATTTATTGTACTAAGCTAGCTACTATTTATTGTGCCTGTAGGCGACCTCCAGGGTTCGATTGCCGCTTAGTACAAATATTTGTCTGCATAAATCCAATACGTAACATTTGTAGTCTTGGCGTGTGTGTGTGCGTAGATATTATGTAGGTATTCATAACGAAAATTTAAATATGTACATGTTTATTAGCGTCTAGAATCAATAGTACAAACTTTGGTTAGTTTATACCCAAATAGCAACTTTTAAACATATTTTCATCTATATACCAGTAATAGTAATGAAGATAATCATAAAGGCTACCACTCCCAAGACTAGTATCATTATACTAACATCATAATAGTAACTACTCCTTGACAATAGGGTTAAGTGGGGTGTCAATTCTAGGCAATTGTCAGATATTGGTACCTCTCATAAACCCAATCATAACTAAATAGAATGCCACCTCTAACAAACAGACAAAGCATCTTGTTAACTACGCTTGACAGGCTCAAGATTGATTTGGACTTACATTTGCCTAGGGAACAAGTGCATTATTAGTAGGTAATTATTAGGAGCCATGGTAACGTAATTAACGTAAACACATAAAAATATAACTTTCCGGATCAATCATTATCAACAGCCTTTAACAGTCCACTGCTGGACATATCCCTCTCCTTAGAAAGGAAGTTTTGGCTTACTATACTACGCTGGCCAGACAGATTGGTATAGGGTATGTGTCAAAGTTTCTTTTTCTTTGCAGTGCTGTTGTCCTGCGTAGTTTGCTCCCTTAGGCGGCTCTTACGACACCCACGGTATGAATCGGGATGTGACAATTCGTGTTCTTAATCCGTCAACACACGGATAATTTTTACGGATACCTTTCAGGATAGTTATATTTTTTTATTTTGAATAGATTATATTCTTCATTTAGAATCAACGCAGGAATTCCGGGAATGTCAATAATACACATCTTTTTAATCGGGGATTTTATCTCTATTTTATGCTAATTCCAAAAACATACTGGCGATTCCCCTGAGGCCCGCGAGTGTCGACAGAGATTTAATGGATGAGGAAACCTGTTGTTTTCTATTCCATGAGAGCTGCAATATCTCCTCGGACAAAGCTAGTATCGAGTGATTAAGTCCCATGAAATCGCAGAGGCAGTTGAGACCGGAAGTTGAGACTCGGACGAGTTTGAGTATGAAATTGAAGAACCTACTAAACGTAATCCGAGAGTCACTGTTGTGGGTGTACCCGTAGCCCTGACTGAAAAAGAGGTACTTGAATGCATTTACGAGCAGAACTTGGCAGACAAGTTTCCTGGCGCTTCTCGCGAGTCCTGTCTCAACACCATAACACTGAGCCACAAATCAGGTAAGAAAAGCCTTCCTACCTGTAACTATATACTTGAGGTGCCGGCTAACATTAGAAAAGTGTTTATCAATCAAGGGAGAATCTACATAAACTGGACTTCTTGTCCAGTTAGAGACTTCACGCTGGTGACTAGGTGCTTCAACTGCCAGCAGTTTGGACATGCAGCTAAATATTGCCGTGAAACCAGCCCAACCTGTAACCATTGTGGAGAGCTCGGGCATACCTTTAAGGAATGCAACAAAAAAGCTGCACCACCTACTTGTGCGACGTGTAAGCGTTTCAAAAGGACAAGTGATCACCAAACTGGTGATGGAAATTGCCCAGCACGGAAATACGCTGAGGACAAATACATCAATTCTATAAACTATGAGGGCGCCTAAGAGCGCCGGTATTAATTGATAGTGTAAGCACTTATACCTTTTTTATATTTTATTTTAATAAATAATGTCTAAACAGTTGCTCTGTGACCTAGATAATTTTTTCTGTGTCTGAGGTTAAATATTGTGAAGTCGAAGACTGTAAACAATATGTGCCGACTACGGATAATTTACTCACAATTATTAAACAAAATAATCGCAGTATACACAAAAACAGAATGGTTTTGAGGTATTGTTACATACTCTTGATATAAACTGTGATATTATCATTTTGACAGAGTGTTGGTTGTCTAATCAGCATCCGCATTTACCATCTCTTAAGGGTTACCTACTGCATAAGAATGATATAATATTGAACCAAAACGATGGATTAGTAATATATTGCACAGCATTCTAAAACAGCATACTCAACTTCCCTATAACCATCATCTATACCATCAAATAAGAGAAGGAAGGACATAGTGTGTAGCAGGCCTCAAGCTAGTCAAACATTTGTTCATAGATTTTATTTATTTTTAGGACCTTTTTATACAATAAAATTAATAGAATACTAAATATATATAGCCTCAATAATAAAAAATGTGTGATCATGTTATCAGAATATTTAGGTAAATTTAACTATGCAGACACAGAAAATGTATTGGCAATTGTTAAATGAGTCTTAAATAGTTTTTGTATAATATTATTTTCTATTATTTCCTTTCGTACGGGTACACTTTGTAGTATTTTTTATATTTTCTAGTGATCTGTTATGTTTATCTTACATTTCTACCTTAATAATTCCATGTCAAGCGATCGCCTGAAACACAGGTTTACCCTAGTTCAGGCAGGCAGCGACTAAAGTTTTTAACAAAATCGCAATATTGTATTTATGTGTAGAAAATCATAAATAACACTACTATAGATTTACGTTTGTGTAACTTAGTCTAATTATTGTCTAAGATCTATGTTAAACTGAAATGTCCTACACTTTAATATTTATATTGGTCAAATAAAAAAAAAAATTATTATTATTAAATTATTATTATTTAAAATATTTACTAATAACACTGTTAATAAATACATTACTTTTATAAAACCTGTAGTTTCTATAAAACATTGGTGTATGAACTCTCAGCATATTTATTACATCATTTACCATCTGAAGCAAATTCAAGATGTTGATATTTTATAATTTTATTATAAACTTTGTTGTAAAAAACACATTTCTCTTATGCGCGTTGACGTATTACTTACCTAGATTAAAATATATTGTTTCTGTAGGTGAAACGACTTCGAATCAACAAGTAGTTTACATTCTATGTTTTTTAGAATTGGCACAAATAAGTATGTTTTCTTTATAATAAAAGAGCTAACGAAAATAAACAAAACCAATTAATTATATATTTTTAATTTTGGCAAAAAAAGTTTCTACGACAGAAATCTGAATCTTAATTATTTCCTATGTTTTGTTTTTTCATTATTTATCGTAAAAGAAAATGTTCGTAATTTCTAGTTAATCGGCAGATTCTGTTAAAATGAACTTTTTCGAATGTATGTACAGTCGTATTTTTATGATTTCCAAGATTTTTTTGAAAATCTAGCTGACCTTGCAAACGTTGTTTTGCCATATAAATTATTTCTAGTGAGTATTTTGGTAGTTAAATGAAAAATAAAAATTCTAGGGACAGTCAACTTTACCACCTAGGGGTATAAAAATAGCTTACGACCTATTCTCAGACCTACCTAAATATACACAAAAAAATTCATAAAAATCGGTAAAGCCGTTTCGGATCAGTTCGATAACAAACACTGTGACACAAGATTTAAAGGTATATTAGAAGGAAGATATATCCAGGCATATCAGTCACCTATGTTTAGATTAAAGTGATATTCAGTCAGATTTCTAAACACATAAGTAGGTAAAGCACATAAGAGTTGCGCTGGTAGCGAATAATTTCTTATTTTATGAGTCTTTCCAGTAATACTTATAGAAATTTTGAAGTATTTTGCTATTATGTTTTTTTACCTATTACTGCTTGTGAGAGAAGAAACATACGTTTTCGTGACATTTGACCGATAACCATAATTATGAATTATCACATTGTCTATTTATTATTTAAAATATTGCTCACTTTTATTTTTCAAAAAAGTTATCAGTTTATATTATTTATTGTTGTAAGTACTATCAACTTTTTTTAAATTAAACTTTTTAAAGTTGAAATAGAAATTAAATAATACGTTAAGTTCACAAATAATGGCGCTAAAAGCAATCGAACTGGTAGCCATTAGGAATCTTCTAATGATATCTCTTTTAATAAATCCTAATATTCCAGTTTATTATAAGTGTTGTTATTGTAAATATAAACATTTTATGAACTTTGTTGTAGGAACAGCGAGAGCCCGACAACCGGACATAGATATCAACAGGTTAGTGCATTGACGCACAACATTTGGCACGTTTAAATCTGTCTAAGTAAATGTATGATACATTTACTAAATTATTTGTATTCTTTTTTCTACTCTTCTAAACTTTAAATTCCACATTCTTCCCTTTTCCGTTATACGTAATAAATCATAGTTGTTACTGTTTTTATGTGTGTTTTACTTTTATTTTACTAACTAACATTTTTATCATTTTTAGTTTAGTGACAATATTTATCTATAACATTGATCCTGTTCTAATTTCATAAATCTTCCAGAGGATTTAAGCAGGGAATCCTAGTGGACTGAGGGGATCAAATATTTTCTTTTAAACAATCATGCTTGTATATAAAATCACATTTAGCAATCTCAACCCTCTTTTCACCTGTGTGATCAGCCCACCAATTCATACCAAACACTTTTCTGTTTTTATGAACATCGAGATAGATTGAATTTATAATTATAATGGATTGTCGAAAAAAAGTTGAAAAATATACTACAGTTTATTGAAACCAATAAAACACGCTTTAAAAGCCAATCGATAAAAAAAAAGTTCCCAAATCCACGTCCCATATCAGCATTAGATTAATTTGAAGACGCTGAATTTTGACGCTGACGCTAATATCCGATTGTAAGTTGAAAGGTCATGATTTCAACGCGGATGTTATGTATGTACCTACTACATTATCTTATCATACAATATACATAAATATCATACTGTGTGTATATGTGTTTATGACTAACACAATATGCACGTAAATGAATGCATCATCAAAGTATAACATCAAAGCTGTCTTAAATAAGTAGTGAGCTAGTTATTAGATACTATGATGCTTAGGAGCAGTGCAGTGACTATAGGCGCTAATAACTTGCGGAAAACAGTTAGTACTATAAGACTATAAATATTTCTAAATGCAGATAATAGGTATTAATCCAAGGCATGCAAATCACTTGGTATTTTTACTATGTAATGTATGCGCCTGTGCGTAAACATAAACCACATATAAACTCACGGTAAACGTACGTAACATCGATAAGCAGTCTGTCAATATGCTCATATTTCATTAATGAAAACATGCATGTTATCAAAATAACCACTTTACGTCATAGTTACAATATACCTGCGTACTTCGGCCACATACCACATATTACAAGCCCTAGTTATTTGTTTTACTATCGGCCGTTCGCATAAATATTTAAAGTTTAAAGTGAAACCTTGAGTAGACACATAACTTTTCTTTACACACATCATTAGCGTAATCATTTTTTCATCACTTGTATTGCAAATTTGTTCTCACTTTTTACATAAAGGTGATAAATATAATTATGTATGTGATTTCAGAATAAAACTTTTACCAAAAGAAGGACACCAGCATTCAAATTTACAAAGTCGTCGTTCTATAGTTCCGTATCACTTTAGAAAGAATGATTATGACCATCATAGCAGCCGGTTCGGCCAGCTACGTCCGCAGATGCACATTATCTACGATACCGCATCGAATACCGAAGCGAAGGCGGGCAAAGTCTACCAGCCAAGAGAAGACCCGCGCTTCTTTTATCAGTCTGATTCTTATATGGAAGAAGTTAATAGGAAAAACTTAAGCAATGAAGTTTCAGCTACTTATTTAGAACGAGGAGTAGTGCGTGCAAGCGAACACAAACTTAGATCGTTGCCATTTCAATTACGAGATAATGAACTGAACAGTATATATGAAGGTAGTGTTACGTTATAAATATATACATATTTATATATCATCATCTCAGCCTAAAGACGTCCATTGCTGGACATAGACCTCCCCAAGGCTCTCCACAACAACCGGTCCTGTGCTGCCCGCATCCATACGAATGAAATTCGTAGATAGTTTCACAATCATACTTTAATTAAAATATCACACCACTTGTCATGACCATAATAGGAGAAGTTAGGTTGTCCATTGTGTTAGCAGTTAAGTTTGTTGGTTGAAGAATACAAAACTGTTCTGATTTTTTTCTCTTGTGTTAATGAATTATAAATTTCAAACTGACAATAATATATTTAAATAAATTTTTCATAACACATGTATGACTTTGCTTGATGTTTATCATGATATTATTATAGATACCTGTGTGAAGTGTCCCCCTGACAGAACGTTGATCGCAAAGGCTGGTGTTGATAGAGCTATGCTGCAGTATCCCCGCATTTTTACATGTTCAGGAAGAAAAGCTGCTAGAGCTGTAAGATTCACACGCATGTATGGCCCTGAATTTGGGTCGTTGTTGAAAGCCGGCTCTCATATGCTAGTCGGCCGGATTACTTATAAAGGTGAAGTAAGTAACGATGCCTGATAGTGTACGATAGCTGAGTCTAAAATAAGCACTAAAATCGATTTAATTGTGTTATAATATTATTGATTTGGAAATGTCAGCTTTGTAATCTATAGTATTATTATTGTTATTATTTATTACTGTAGTCATCGGTAGTTACTTTCCATCAGGTGACCCGTCTGCTTGTTTGCTCCCTATATCATAAAAAATATTATTATCATAAGATATTTATATATCGTGGTGTGTACAACTTCATACAAAACATAATGTATTTCAAATAGCTTTTAGAGGAAATACTTCATTGCCTCTGAGAGCTATTTGACGTACATTCTGCCAAAAAAAATAAAGAGCAATTCTACTACTACTATGGAGCTATTTCATTCGCTACCGATTAGTACATCAGATGCGAAACGACTCATTCAATTAATTTATTAATATTTATTGTTGTTAGAAATACCAAGAAGTTGAATACAATACTTCGACTGTATCCATCTAATCCGCTGCTCATGTGCTCTTGCCAATAAGGAATATCTATTTGGCAACGCGAGCATTCAAAACACTCATGTTCTACGTTTCAAATTATGAATAGTTTCAGATTTCTCTATGACGTTATATTTTATGTTCCAGATCTTACAAACATGTAAAATGCAAATACATGTTTTGTTACAATCTTGTCCCGTCCCGAAATATTTGGTGTCTCACTGTAAAGCTGGAAATAAAACATGCAGTTTTACGTGTCGGAATGCTAAATCCGAATTGCGTGGCACAAAATCCTTAATGTGTGAAGAAAATCAACGATGGTCGGGACGACTGCCGACCTGCAATAGTAAGTTTGTGTACCTATTAAAACTACAATGACACACAATATTATACTATAATTAGCTATATTTTTCCATTAAACTGATATTATATTGTTCTTCACCCACCATAATATTGTAAACGCGTTTTTGAGGATGCATATATGAATGTCAATCACGCCGTAACGGCTGAACGGATCTGAGCGAAATTTGGCAAAGAAATAAAGTATAGTGTGGAATTTGGCAAAGAAATAAAGTATAGTGTACCACAGAGGATAATTTTGTCAAGAAAATGCTTTTGACTAGTATACATCAGTTTTGGCGAAAATATGTATGTATCTGACTTAAGTCCCTGCAAGAAAAATCTTATAGCGACTTATCTAAGTTTTGTGCACCTGGATGTTTGCTAAACTATGGGACAACCTTTAAACCAATAGCCGACAGAGTAAGATTCCACTGTCACAAACTTTGAAAGAGTAGAGAAAACTGATAAAGACGAAAGTTGATTGGAGAATCAAGTTTTATTAAAATAGTACGCTGAGACCCTTATATACAAGAATGATAAAAACCTTTTTTAACGAATGATAAAAACTTAGACTACACTAAATGCTAGACCAAATATATTGGTACAAAATTAAACTTTATAGAATTCTATTACAAAAATATTAAATGACTCAATGCCCAAGCATCAGATAGGTTTGTTATCACTACTTACTCGATTAGCAATAAATAAATAAAAAATATCACCATTATTCATACCATATGAACAATAAAGCAGTAGTCTTTATAATACCAAGACATTATTTTATACATTTTAGTGTATTATAGGATAAGCCAATACGCTGTCAAGGTAAGATTTGTAATTTGGCTTGTATTTAAAGGCTTCCTAGATATTATTAATCGTATGGGTTGACAACATACAATTGTTAACTTGGCACTCCCGAATGCGAATCAATATAATACAGTTAAAAGATTAAACTTTGATAGCAGGGTAAGTTATGTGCAATTTGTTGAGTAGTGTGCTAGTGGAAGTTGTTGGCACAATAATATGTAAAATAATTTATAATAATTATAAAGAGTCAATTTTCTAGAGTAGTTACACAAACGGCTTAAATAGATAGTAATCTTCACTGTACAGTCAATGGGCCAACAACACCAGCCAACACCCACGTGGGTACGTGTACGTGGGTCACAATGGCAGTTATCGATGAAAAATTTACTTTAATTTCGAATTAGGCATCTATGGCTGTTAAATTTTTTCAAATAATAATTTGTTTTTACAAATTGGCGGCAATTTATAAAATGTCGTACATCGGTATGGATTTGACTAGAAAATGTACACTGAATAAATGAATATTTCGCTCAATGATTTACTACGACTTTCATTGCGGTCTTACTCAACAAAAATGTGTCGATAGACTTCGATTGGTATTTCATGACGAAGCCCTTTCTCGTGTTTACTAGTAATGGGCATTAATGCTAAATAGATTTAATTTAATTAGTTGCTTCTTCTTATGTCTTAGCATGTTAATTGCTAATGCTAATACATATTATTTTGTTAAAATAATGCAAGAAATAATGCAATACAGAGTTTCTTCGCGATATGCTAGCCTTCGTGAATTCGTCACTTAACACTATCTATTAAAAAACCCTGCCTATTCACAAAATACCTATTTACAATGCACACGTCACACTCTTCAAAACACAATTACTTACACCTACCCTATATTTAAACTTCTTATTAACAAATACTAGCTACGAATTCTGTAAACAACTATAAACAATTTAAAATAACACTACAAAAAAAAAGGCATTCAAAACAATACCTTCCCGGGCACTTGCTAATGCTTAAAAATTCAATGAATGGTATTAAAAACATATTTCATTAAACAATAATCAATATGTGCATTTCTTTTAAGATAGACAATAAAATCCTTTGCACCTTCAATCAGTCGCGCATCGCTTGGACATCGTTCCGCGCATTAGCTTTAGCATTTAGTATTAAAGTACGTGCCGCGTGAATTTACAATTAATTAATATAAGTGTTAAGTTCACACAGTGTGAAGTGATGATTTTTTTTAAATAGACAATAAAATCCTTTGCACTCTCAGAAATAGCTTCAATAGCGCCGCGCTCGGTCACTGTTCCGAGCGAAATAGGTACTTAAACGCAACAACAGACGGTACATTTATCGTTCATTTAGCATTAGCAGTTGCATTAATATTTTAGCAAGACGATTTTTTAAATTAAATTTAGTCTTCTTAACGTTGAGTTTAAACGTGGTCGTGGACGTGGATGTGGACCACGTTTAAACTCCTTCCTTAAAGGACGTCCTTCTACGGCGACTACTGACAATAACGTCAGTACTGTGCGGCTAATGAAAGAAGTTAATGAGGGTGACATTTCCATAGACGTCAAGGAATAAAGATTTTGATTTGGACGGGCGGGTCATTTCGCAACGATCATTCTAGAAGATAAAAGGACTGTGACTTGCAAATTGGTACCTATGCCAGTCATTGTCTAGCAGTTGTCTTGGAAAATGTTAGACAGCAGAACCCGAGAAGCAGTTAAGGATGGAATAACCACGACAACGTGCCAGCTCACTCCGCCAGACGGAATTTGTCTATTGAAGGTGTGGAGCTAGTGAGTCTTAGCCTTACAGTCCAGACCTGGCACCTTATGACTTAAATTTATTTCCAAAAATAAAAGATTTACTTAGAGTTAGTGCACCCGATCCCTAAAAAAGGTGACCACTCTGACACGTCCAACTACAGGCCTATAGCCATAACTCCTTTGTTCTCTAAGATTATGGAATCCATTATCAACAGCCAGCTCCTCCGGTACTATGATGATCACCAGCTACTCATGACCGACATTATGGTTTTCGCCGGGGTCGCTCAGCTGGTGATCTGCTCGTCTTTCTAACACACCGGTGGGCACAGGCGATCGAGACCAAAGGAGAGGCTTGTGCGGTTAGTTTGGACATAGCGAAGGCCTTTGATCGGGTCTGACATAAGGCGCTTCTCTCGAAGCTCCTTTCCTTTGGGCTTCCCGAGAAATTGTGTAATTGGGTCACCAGCTTCCTTGCGGACAGAAGCATTAAGGTCGTTGTCGACTGTAAGTGGTCCGACTTGAAATTCGTAAATGCTGGTGTCCCACAAGCCTGTGTGCTATCACCCACACTGTTTCTTCTGGATATCAATGACATGTTGCAAACTAGTAGCATCCATTGCTATGCAGATGATAGCATAGGAGATGCCCTTTATACCGGCCGCCCCAATATTTCTCGGGAAAACGTCATTGAGAGTCGAAACAAACTTGTGTCTGAATTTGAAACTTCCTTAGCGGAGGTTTCCGATTTGGGCCGACTAAATCTAGTCCAGTTTAACCCAAAAAAGATACAGGTATGTGCGTTCACCGCAAAAAAGATACCATTTGTCGTATCACCTCAGTTTGAGAGCACCTCCCTAACTGCCTCAGCCAGCATCGGAATCCTAGGCATCGACATATCGAGCGAAGTCCAGTTTCGGGGTCACTTAGAGGGTAAGGTCACATTGTCCTTAACCGAGCAATGCAGTATTTCACTCCGGCCAACCGCCTTCAGCTCTATAAGATGCAAGTCCGTCCGCATATGAAATACTTTTCTCATTTCTATGCAGGGACACCTCAGTACCAGCTTCTCCCTCTGGACAGCATCCAACGAAGAGCGACTCGAATCATCGATAGCCCAAACATCTCCGATCGGCTCTATCTCCTGGCGTTACGTAGAGATGTGGCTTCACTCTGCATTCTCCATCGCATATATTATGGAGAGTGCTCCGAGGAATTGTTCGAACTAATACGAGCCGTAACTTTCCGCCATCGTTATACACGGCAAAATTTTCATCCTCATCACCTGGATAGTTGGCGCTCCACTACTGTGCGCTTTTCAAGACACTTTTTGCCCCGCACAATCAATCTGTGGAACGGGTTATCGTCTGCGGTATTTCCTTCTAAGAGAAGAGAAGGGAAGAGGCTCCTAAAGAAGAGTGGGCTCACTGCTTCAGTTAATGGTTCCATGGCATGCGACGGTGCTTAGAAAAGAACGGAGACTACTTACTTTGTAAAGCATGAAAATTATATTAACAGGCTTTTATATTATTACGTTTTTTTATATTCTAAAAACTTCCAGTATTACTTCCGTATTTAATACATATATACATACATTTACACAATTATTGATAAGCAGTAAGTAGGTGGCCTTATCGCCAAAAGTGATGTTCTACACAAACTTTGTGTGAAAAGCCTTCATAGTATAAGTCGGCTTCACGTGCAGTTGTTCTGTAAAACTAGTATTAATTTCTACTCTTACATGAATTTTATCAACTCTTCAGCGTCATAACCAAACACTGTTGTTTCCCGCAAACAATGCCCTATTCATTAAGTTCGCCTTAACACAAATTAAATAAAAGTAATTGTTCTAGCTCGTACATGGTGTACCCCTCCAATCCCGCCGGATCATGGCAAAGTAAGCTGCAAGGGAGTGACTGCTTCTAACGGCTATGGACTTACAGACGGATCAGCTTGTCGTGTCCGATGTGCTAAAGGCTGGCGTTGGCGTTCGCGTGTCTCCATCTGCCGGCGAGGAAATTGGACTCATAACCTTATATGTCAACCGAACCGAAGCAAATAATCTTAGAAAAATAATACCTATAATAAATAAAGATAAAGTGTTATTAGAATGTAAGATTAATATTGGTTACTTAAGTATTTTATACAGTTAATTTTACGGAATATAATGGTAAAATATAATAATAAAATATAATATAATAACACCTAACAACTAACTTTAGTGCATTAATTATGTTAATTAGAACGAATTCTTAAGAAATTTAAAATTTTAACCTCTCTGACTGATTCTATGAAAGTAGAAAAGTACTACTAGAAATTAAATGCACAGTAAGAAACCTAACTGATGTAATTCTTTAGAAAAATAACAAACATTACTCAACTACTCGAAAAATTATTAGGGATATACGCCACACACAGTCAATTTTTAAGCCCAAAATATAAACTTGTAATTTCTTATAATAATTTTTTAAATGTGAGAAGTATATATTTTTTTCTTCTTTCCTCACTGCATGAGACCTTGCTTCTTCCCAAAATTCATATTTTCTAAATCAATAGACTTGTAGCGTAAGCAAAGACTCAGGTTCGATTCCCGGGTCGGACTAAATGTTTGTATGATCTGCAAATATTTGTTTCGGTGTTTGGGTGCTATGTATTTACAAAAAATAGTATATAAGTATTCAGTCAATATAGCTTTCATAGTACAAGCTCTGCTTAGTTTGAAACTAGATGTCATTGTGGCTCAGATGTCAAAAAAATATTATTATAATATATAGTTCAACCAAAGAAAGAAATGAGAAACAGTATATAAAAAAATTAATATTACTACGTAATATTAAAATATACGTATAATATACGTAATATATACGTAATATATACGTAAAATTTATAATAAGTCTTTATTAACTGGTATATTTCCCGACATGTGGAAGCAAGCGAAAGTCGTGCCAGTACATAAATATGACGATAGTGACAACGTTATTAATTATAGACCTATCTCAATTCTGTGTACTTTTGCAAAAATATTTGAATCCTTTTTGTGTCCCCTTATTCAAAGTCACCTTAAACCGTACATAAGCAGCTCGCAGCATGGTTTTACTAGCTGTAGGTCAACATGTACAAACCTTGTGGCCTTTAGTGACACTCTAATGGAGTCTATTGACGCAAATCGGCAAATAGACGTAATATACAGTGACTTTAGTAAAGCGTTTGATAAAATTCCGCATAAAATGCTTTTTTATAAATTGGCGATGTATGGCGTCACCGGTACTTTGCTGAATTGGTTCGAGTCATATCTTGACAATCGTTATTACTTTGTGGCTGTCAATGGATTTAATTCGGACAAGCGTAGAATTATTTCTGGCGTACCGCAGGGCTCGCACCTTGGGCCAATTCTGTTTAATTTATACGTTAATTATGTCACTCATTGTTTCCGCTCATCTAATTGTTACATGTTTGCCGACGATCTTAAATTCTGTAAAACAATACTGTCTTTAAACGACGTGAAATTATTGCAAGAGGACATTAACAGACTTGCTGATTGGTGCAAAAACAACTTTATGAGCTTAAATACCAAGAAATGTTACCATATAAAGTTCACCAGAAAGCCATGCCCTCTGCCATCCATATATTATATCGGGACCGATGCAATTCAAGAAGTGACCGAAATAAAAGACTTGGGAGTGCTATTTGATAGCAAGCTTACATTTGTACCTCACATGGAAAATACCATTACACGAGCATCCAAAATGCTAGGATTTTTGCTTAGAAACGTCAGAGTTTTTCAATCGCACAATACAAAAATCATACTCTACAATTACCTCGTTCGTACTATACTGGAGTACTGTAGTACAGTCTGGCGACCACATTACTCTTGCCATAGCCTAAGGTTGGAGCGAGTGCTGAAAAGGTTTCTATGGCATTTGGCCGTTACCGCAGGAATAGCTCACAAAATAAAGTCGTACGATAGCAGATTGGCACACTTCAAAATGATTTCGTTACAGAAGCGTGGTATAATAATAGACGCTATGTTTATGTTTAAGTTATTACGAAATAAAATCGATTGCCCCGAGCTTTTAGGCAAAATAAAATTTCGTACTCCCATTAGAAATCCCCGTGCACCTGTGACCCCGTTGTATCCGCCACTTCGTAGAACCGTACTTGGTGCTAACTCAACTATACCTCGTCTTTGTAGAACCATAAATAGTTACTCTGCGGTCATAGATGTACACGCGGACTCGCTTGCCACATGCCGCAAAAGTATCACGAGTGTATTGTAATGTGTATACTGTACGATTTGTAATCATTTATCAACCAATTAATGGTTGTAGCAAACTTTTTGATAGTAACCCTAATGTGAAAATTATTATTTTTGTTTTAATGTGGCCTATGGCTACTGCATTAATCACTGTTTTGTTTGTTGTTGTGACTGTATAATTTCAATTTATCAGCTGTGAAAAAATTTGTGCATGCTGTGCTTGCCTGTAATAGGCTACTATACTATTATGTAGCTTTGTAATGTAAAATAAAATTGTATTAGTATAAGTAGTTGTTGGTAAGTCTAATAAATAAATAAAAAAAAAAAAAATTAAACTTACGTGTAAAAACTACGTTTGTTCAGAGGATAGTAAACTTCTTTGTATTGAAAACAATGCTTCATTTGAATTAACAGCTTTTTATTAAAAAGAGTTTCAATCAATCAATCAATCCACAGCCTATAATAGTCCACTTCTGGACATAGGCCTCTCCTTAGAAAGGAGGTTTTAGCCTACTATACCACACTGGCCAGACGGGTTATTATAGGTTTTGTTTCAAGTTTTCCTTCTCTTTGCAGTGCTGTTGTCTTGTAGTTTGGTCCCTTAGTCGGATCTTACGACACCCACGGGATGAGTAGGGGTGGTGACATTCCGTATTCTTAATCCGTCACCACACGGATAAGAAGAAAAAGAGTTTACAGTTTAGCAAAATAACCCTCATATTCCCCAGCCAACCACAGAGCTTGACTAGAAAGAGATAGACTGAACTATCTAGCATACATCTCTCTCCTTGCCTTTATTGCAAGTTTGGGGCTCTTGTTCACTCTATGCTTATATCTCTATGAAAAGAAAAGCAAAGATATTTTGTCAATGAGAGAACATTGACAAAATACCTTTGCTTTTTATTTTTACTTCCGTATTTTCACTACAGGTTTTTCAAATACGTAAATAATGCATTTAAAAATATACCACAAACTAAAATTGTAAATTGATTCAGGACTTATAATTTACAAAACTGTATGTGATTACCATATAACGACTTTATACAGTATTTCCATTACTTAACAGAATGGCTGTAAAATTGTATCACTAAACTAATAAAGAAAATTTAAAATAACCAAATAAGCTTAGATTACTGACTTAGACGATAGAATTAAAAAAACGTAAATATTTATTGTAATGAGTTGCCTATGAATGTCATTTTAAGACGCTCAAATTATAGTCAGTCAAGTATGAATTCGCTATTGTTCTTTGAAGAGTCGCAACACTACGGTAAAGAACCTAACTACGTGACTTTAAAACGAAGTCCAAAAAATGCTGTCTATTGCATATTTTGGTTATTTTTCTTTGTTTAAATATGTAAATTTAAATTAAGTCATTAAGAATTGTATCGTGGTTATTTTTTATGTGACCGTTCCGATTTCTGCATATCGCATGTGGTCATAAAAACAAACATTTGAATACATGCCTTTGATAATTGATAATATTTTTATAAAAATACAATTTGATGACACTCCTGTTATTTCGAAACCCAATACCATTATTTGTGACTGAAATTACTTAGTAATTCTTAATTAACATCTATGACTATTTCAGGAACAAATATTATTCATTAGATCATTGAAAGTACATTTATTAGGTGATTGAATAAATCATAGACTTAAAATTATAACGTAGCACAGGTTGTGTTGAAATAGGCACACAGCTGAAAAAGATGCTGAGATACTCCCAGCATCTCTCCCCGCCGCCAACAAATCTCAACTCTCACGCCTGTCATGTAGTTCTAGTACTGCCGTATCCTACATTACGACATTCCAGAGCTTTGCATATAACTTGCACGTGGACTGCAGTTTGCACAGAATAATACTAAAGGGTTGAAAGTAAGGTCATGGGTCTCGAAAGAAGCCACCTGAGGGATCCCAGCCTCATAGTAGGAGGCACTCGCATTGGCATCGAGACCTCGATGAGGTATCTGGGACTATAACTCGATGGCTGGTGGGACTTCGAACAACAAGTAAATAATTCAAATTACAAACTCAATGGTTGTTCACGAACTGAAGATTACTGAATTAAAATATTTTATTATGCCGCAAGATTAATGAAATAATAACTGAGGAAATCTGCTAAATAATTTATATTTTATCTACATACCTAATTGTTTTAAGCTTTCCGATACTAAAGTAAAAGTTTCTTCCTTTTTTTTACCACTCTATCCAATGACTTCTGGCTCCTTAACTTTCCCTTCATAAAAATCCAGTTGAAATATCTTATTATATCTAAAGATTTGGACAAACAGCGATCGTCGTGAGCAAATTGTAATGAACCTACTACCTAATATAAAACATTACAATATGTCACATCGCGTCATGCTAGGCGTTAATATATTTTTACAGCCCACCAGGGGCGTATTTACCCTAGGGCCATCCGGGCCATGGCCCGGGGCGCCAATGGTCTACTGGCCCACTCGTTTTTGTTTAGGTTTTAGCGCAATTCAACTAACTTTTACTTAAATTCAACACAGTAGTCCTTAGAACCAGTGGTATAATAGTAAGATTAGCTTACTTCCACACTTGATGAGAGTAGTGACTGTTCGAGCCTCAGTGCCTGATCACTTTTTGAACTTTTTGTTTCATGTGTTGGAGCGCCTACGTCGAATGCGTTAGCAATATGTCAACGCTCATAGTGTAAGCTCACTGTCACAATCCTGTCATGAATATTGTCTCATTTAATTTTTATAGTTTGTAAGTTCATTATAAAAGCTCACAGCATACAGTCCACACGCCTGCCTTTTTATTTCGTGAAGTCCTAA